TCCATTTTTAAGATATGGCGTCTTGACAGCTAAACATTCTTTCAGACCCAGAGCGCTGAGTCGTCTTTTCACAGTGGAAGGATGGACAGAAACACCTGTGGATGTTTTCAGATCTGAAGCAGCTTGACTTTCTCCTCTCTCTCATAGATGAAAGCTTTAAGTGCTGTTTATCTGATAGGGATAGTGCTGGTGGTCTACCAGGTCTTGCACTGTTGTTAGATGTCCCATTTTTTCTTTATCTTTTAAGCATTTTTTAAACTCTAGCTTTGTAAATTCATTTTTCCTCATTCACTTTCCGCTTCTTTAGGAAAGTGGATCATCTAACCTCCTGACATCACCCTGAAAAATGAATAGCTGGTAATTTATATCAGTTTTGAGTGGACAAATAATAAAGGAAGGGTGGTCTCTGACTTTTGCACAGCACTGTATATATACACACTCTTTTGATTCAGGAAATGGAGCTGCGTCATGGTGTGCAGTTATCCAGTTCATTGCTTGGATCATCATATTGAACTATTTTTCTTCAAATGAATAAAGTCATAAAATTACTTCAGAAAACTCCATCTATCAAAACCTAGAGAGGCTTTATCATACTATTGCTGTGTAAAGTACACCATTCCACATGTGGTGGTCACACTTGTGCATACCTTCACTGCTGCAAGAAGCACAATGGTTTTTCACACCTGTTTGGTGTGAATTACTGTATCTGTGGGATTCCAGACTCTAACCATGAAGCCATTTACATCTGTGATGGAAAAGTTTAAACTACTTTGAATGCTTCATTGTCTGCCGTTAAGAATCCCCATGGCGCCTAGCACTGACTATGACACCAGTGATGGTGAAATGAGCCATGCTCGATGCTCTACAAGCACCATTTGCCTCTCAAGCTTAATTGAGCAATTGTGTTCTTAGCCAACCATGTTTGGCAGCATGGGCTGGCATCTCTAGAGGAGACACGTCTGAGATGATGGAGTGTATCTTTACAGGAAAATAAGTTGGCTTGGGATGCATATTATTTACTGAAGACCAGTTATCATTTCAGATCAAAGCAACAAGAAAATAATGTCTGGGAAAAGTGGCTTATCTTAGCAGTGACAGTGTAGAATATGAATCATTAAAGCTGAAATAATGTAGATGTGCTTTTTTCTTAGCTGATGTACTACATTTAATGACCACAAAATCAGTGTCCATGTGCAGGCTTTTTGGTCTCTGGAGCATCTTTTCTTGCACAGCTTAGAGTGAATTGCTTCAGGTTCTGTAGCAGCAGTACAGTTCCATATCTCTAGTTTATTCTAGATTTATTGTCTATGTATTGTTTTTGCACTCGCTGTGTGTATAAGTATTATCTGTTATCCCACTTGTACATGTGCACTCCTTATCTTAATGGTCATGCACCAGAGAAGCAGCCCAAATGTTTGTTATACTGTACCATCATACATGTATAATGACAGTAAAGCTGAATTGAATTGAATTGAATCTGTTGGCCATCAGCTGCCAATCACTTCCAGTCAAAACAACCACTAAGTACAAGTTATTCAAAAATGATTAAAATATCCAGAGAAAATGGGACCCCCAACAACAGTGCAAGACCTGGTAGTCCACCAAAAATGTACCCATCAGATAAGCAGCACTTAAAGCTCTCATCTTTGAGAGAGAGGAGAAAATCAAGCTGCTTCAGATCTGAAAACATCCACAGGTGTTTCTGTCCATCCTTCCACTGTGAGAAGACAACTCAGCGCTATGGGTCTGAAAGGATGTGTAGCTGTCAAGAAGCCTCACTGAGAAGAGGAAATAGACAAAAAAGAAGAACATTTGCAAATCAAAGAAGCTGCTGGTGTTCTCAGAAAGATGCACTGACCACTCCAGAGTCCGGATCTCAGCATCAATGAATGTGTTTGGGATTACATGGATCATGAAAAACAAAAAGTGCAACCAACTTCTAAGACTGAACTTAGAAAAATATCCCTGCTGATTTCTTTGAAACGCTGAAAGTGAGTCTACTTAAAAGAATGGAAGCTCTGAAAAAGGGAAAGTGTGAACACATTCAGTATTGAAAATTATTGATATACTTCTAAAAGCTTCTGTGTCATTTTCTGTAAAATATGTTTTCTTTTTCCTGGTGCTGAATAATAACTTCTTAATGATTGTATTGACTGGAAATGACATAAATGAAGGGTTGTCTTTGATTTTTACACAGCTTTGTGTGAGGCTCAGCCCTATGTGTGTAGATCTACTCACTCAGGAGGATAATCCCCACTCAAATGACCTCAAATGTAATTACTTACAACACTGAACACAGAATAGCAAAGAAAATGAGAAAGAAAAGCAGCGTAATAAACTGTGCTCAGGGCTGGCAGCCTAAACTTCTTTGTTTAATGTCACATTTCTCTATTCAGCCATTTCTAAGCAACATTTGGTCACTTTTTTTGCTTAACTGGTTATTCCCAGAGGGTCTGCTGGTCTCTTGTGAGATAATTCCAAAGGTCACTGGTTCAGTTTGTATTGGTTTGGTGGTTAATCTTCTGAGGAAGGTCAGTTCTTTTTAAATTTGGTAATTGAATTTGTTAATTGGATCTGGAAGCGTGCCAAGCTTTGTCTCCATTATGAGAGGAGAACTAGTAAAATGAGGGATCTTAGTAGACCTATATGGACGCCACAGTCGCAGCCAACATGCAGACGAAGATACAATTATCTAGACATTACGAGGTTCAGTAGATTACCTGATAATGAAGGGTAATGTGGAATGAACTGTAAATCACTATTAGGACTATCATAATGACTGTCACTTTGCACTGACCATCTCCCTCTCACAAAGCTAGAGAAGGAAAAGAAGGAAAGGAATGATAGATTTCAAGACTTACCATATCGTCTCCACAGACTGAGACCAATGAGACACTTAAGACAGACTCTGATTAGATACGCAAGCATATAATCTATGAGCAGGATGAGAGCGGTCTCTCTGGGAAAATCAATATAACGTAATAAGGTAACTTTTAAAGCGCAGCGTCAATAAGCCGTTCTTTTACACCTTCTAGATGCTGCGTCTATAATTCACTTACCTCCTTATAATTACTCACTCTGCCTTTTCTTTGTCTTATAAAAATCTCAGGGTGGTATTGATTCTCTGTGAGTTACATCTCTGCTTTTGTTTTTTACTGAGTTGGAGAAACTCAGAAAGTCAAGAATAACAGTGTTGGAATTGATTGACCTCAAAGTTGCTTCAGAACTTTGCAGAGATCTGCCAAAGTCTGTTGAGGGTCTCACAACGCAGTTAGGACCCCTGCCAGTACATTCATCTAGACCTCTCTGACCTGGTCATTCCCAGTTTGTCTTTCTTCTCTTTTCTTTCCGTTTCTTTTTTTTGGTTTGTCTTCTTTTTTCGGTGCTGACTGTGCAACGGTCAGAGGCCACCCTTTATTTATTTAATATCCAGCCAAAATGACCATTATATTATGCATTTTTCGGTCAGAAAAATGCCATTGTTCTCAAAATGATGGACTGACTACCCCAGAGTCCAGACCTCAGCATCCCTTAATGTGTTTGGAATTACTTGGATTGTGAGAAGCAGAAAATACAACCAACTTCTCAGACTGAACTTTGGATGAAAAATATCCCTGCAGATTTCTTAAAAAAAACTGAAATCAAGTCTCCTGATAAGAATAGAAGCTGTAATAAAAAGCAGAAAACATCACTTTTTCAGAAAATATAGAAGCCTAAATATAACATAACTTTTTTAGCGTAATGTCCAACTTTTCCATTCCTTTTGAAAAACTTCCTTTTAGTTTTTCATTTAAAATCTGTAAAAGTTCAGTCATAGAAGTTGGTTTAATGTTCTGTTTCTCACAACCCAAGCACATTCAGTGATGTTGAGGTCTGGACTCTGGGGTGGTCAGTCCATCGTTCTGAGAAAACCAGCAGATGATTTGTTTTTGTCTGTCTCCCCAACACCTGTGGATGTTTTCAGATCTGAAGCAGCTCGATTTTCTCCTCTCTCTCAAAGATGAAAGCTTTAAGCACTGTTTATCTGACAGGGACAGTTTTGGTGGTCTACCAGGTCTTTCTCCTCTTTTTTTGGAGTGGTCCTTTGTAGATCATTAATAAACTTTTAACATAGTATCAGTAACACAACAGCATATCAGTGAAGTAGCAGTAGTGAAGCATCTGAATACACTGAAGTAAATATCTTGATAGATGTTCTGTTGATACATTACTTACATCAAGCAGATGTTTTGTCAATATGTTACTTCCATTACACAAAACCTAACCTTATCCAACCTTACCCAAAACCTAACCCTCACCTTGGCCCTAATCTTAACCCTCATATGTTTTTGACATGTCACTGAGAGTCTGTTGAGTGTTTGTTTCATCTAAAAAGGACACTCAAAATAAAGCGCCACCGAAATGTCTCCTGAAAAATGACTAATTTGTACCAAAAGGGTGTTTTGACTGGAAATTAAACGAAGGGTGGTCTCTGACTTTTGCACAGCACTGTATGTTTGGTGTGTAAAGTTTTATTGTGGTAGTAAACTTCTCAGAGCCGTATATCAGCTTTCGCTTTTCCATTCACGTCTCATTATGCCACAAGCACTAATTCAAGCCTCAATTATAGCCGATGATGAGTTTTGCTAATGAAGTACTCGCAGATGCGGAGTTTGTCATACGCACGCATACACACACACACACACACACACACACACACACATACACCAGCACGCAAAACCATTTCAAGCCTATCTGATGACAATCTAAGGTCAATGGGTTTAACATCCACTTAGGCATTCATGGGCTTTATTCACCCAAATTTGATTCACAATGATACTAATCAGAGAGCAGATGTCAAATGTCATTGATGATTGTCCCCTGCTGTGTTATTTGGGCTTATCATTTACTTTAAGTGTAATCTGATTCCAATCATATTAATTGTGATGATGGAAGAAATCAGTGGTTAATTCTCAGCACATCTTTTCTGTCTCTCTAACCTCGTCTGTCCTGCATTACAGACGTTACTCAGTGTATGATGAAGACACCACTATGGACTCTGCTGCTCCTGGGGCTGTGCGTCCCTGGACGCAGTGACTGTCAGAGAGACTGTCTGTCCTGCGGCCAAATCCTGCCCAAAGACCACGCCTTCGACACACTGGTGAGCCCCAGTTATCGTATTAATTATTTAATCATTTAATAATGTGCATTAAAGGAATAGATTGATCAAACACGCTAACATACCTAACATTGACTAGAAGCTGGTTTCCACCAAGCTGAATGATGTCATTTGTATAATGCTAACTGCTTTTAGCATTATTGATCTATTCCTTTAACATCTCGTTTTGTACTTAACCTTAAAGGGGCAATATGACCCAAAAATAGCATTTAATATATTTTTTCCACATTTTTTTTTGACAGAATGTGATTTTGTACTCTTTTTATGTTGTCGTCCATCAAGTTTCTCTCACAAAATTCTCTAAATACACACTACACTGCACATTTTGGTGCTCAATTACTGCTTATATGCCGAATTTAACATATTGGAAAAATGAAATAAAACAAAATGTGGCCTGTGCAAAAGTTGTGGCACATTTTATGCTTTCAATAATGTCAAATACAACAAATAAATAGAAATTGTGCACTACAATCTGCAAAAAAATACCCTCTTAAAAATGTTTTTTTTAATATCTCATAATTAAACCATTGTGAAGTAAGCAAACGTATTTAGAGTGGTTTGATGCGAGAAGATTTATTGTAGAAAAACTTACAGAGTGAGAATATTCACAGTGTTGGTGAAGGGAACCAGACGTCCAAAAGCGTTTAACACTCCTAAAAACTGCTTCACAGAGAGCTGTCACATGTAATAGTTAGAAATATATATTTCCTGATGTCTGAGACATTGTTTTATGATAGTTTTGAAAAGGTTTTGGCCTAAAATGTATCTATCCATTCATGTTGGAGAGATGCAGGACATACAGACATACAGAAAACTGATTTTTTTTTTTATTTAGCACTATTTTACCATTATCAATTTTACATTTTAAGCTCAGAAGTCACGTGTAGGTTCACTGGTGGTTTTGGATAATAAGTAAAATGACTATATTTGTGTCGTAGACATGGTGACCCCTGGTTCCTATCACCACCACTGTAATGAAATCTGACTATTTTACATCAAATCACTCTGAATTACTTTATTTTTCACCTCAACAACTGATTTGTGTAGAATTCTTTAAAAAATGTTAAATTCCCCTTTTAAGATTCATGGAAAGGATGTGTTAACTCAAAAAAACATGTAATTTGACCAGAGGTATTCAAAGTTTTGCACACAACTCTTAACTCTTAACTTAACTTTTTTAGGTGCAGTAAGTGCATTAGACTTAAACCATTACATCTAACACATACCTACACTTGACTAGATTACAGTTACAATGTGCCTAACAGTCTCTCACTCGAGCTCAAAGATAAGCTGCATCTCAGAGTTTCTGTTTTTCTGCTCTGGATGCTGACCAGAGGCATTTGAGGGGGCAGCAATGTTGATTTCATTAAGGATTGTCTTTTGACTTTAAACAGCTGTGGCGATTCAGTTATGTCTGTGCATATTTAAGTAGAAATACAACAGCATCATCTGGCCAGGCCGGTGGCAGAGGGCGACAGAGCAGAGCTGGTCCAACTTGTGCTCAGGGGAATCTCTCTGTGGTGTTCTCTATCACTTTGCAGCATGAATGACCAGAAAGGGCACATCCCTCTCTCTGCTTCCCAATCTCAAACTTCCACCCCTCCCTACTCGTGACTCAGAACCTCCCCTGGCACCCGGCATTTAATTCATTTCTGGTAATTGATTCCTTTCGATGACGGGGAGTGGGGTGCTCACTCTTCTTCTTGATGCACCAATTAATGCATCATGACTTTTATGCTGTTGTTGGAACTCCTCCACAGGAATTTGAAATTTCAGCACTGCAGGGGGGCACTGTCGGTTAACCCCTTTAACTCTGAGGGTCCGTGTGTGGGCTCACTCAGTTTATCACTCTCATAAATACATAATTGTTATAATAACGCATCTTAAAGGAGAAAATGTCTGCATATACACTCATTAAGCACTTTATTAGGAACACTTGTACACCTACCCAGTCATGCAATTGTCTAATCAGCCAATCATGTGGCAGCAGACACTAGAATGGTGCAATAAAGGAAAAACAAAAGTAAGTGGCAGTTCTGTGGATGGAAACAGCTTGTTGATGGAAGAGGTCAATGGAGAATGGCCAGGCTGGTTCGAGCTGACAGAAAGATTGTAGTAACTCAGATAACCACTCTGTACAATTGTAGTGAGCAGAAAAGCTCTTGAAAGTGCCCCTGAAAAATCTCTAGGAATTGCATGATGCAATCATGTCAACATGAACCAGAATCTCAAAGGAATGTTTCCAACATCTTGTGGAATCCATGCCACGAAGATTTGAGGCCGTTTTGAGAGCAAAGGGCAGCCCTACCCCTGTATTAGTATAGGGTTCCTAATAAAATGCTTGCTGAGTATATAAATTGTTAAGATGCAAACAAAGTCATTCAGCATTGTTTGGTGTGAAATGCTCCATTCTAGAGAAACTTACAGAGAGAACTGCTCACAGTGGTGGTGATGGGAACTGGGCATCTGTACAGTTTAATGCTTCTAAAAGCTCCCTCACATAAAGTTATTACATGAAATTGTTCTGAATATGCTTGAGATATTGTTTTGCGGTAGCTTTGACAAAATTTTGGCCTAAAACTTAGATATTTTAAGTCCACCCATGGCACAGAGGTACATTCAGGGTGTTTGAAGGCAAAATAGTACCAAAGGATGAAATTTTTTTTTTTTTCATATTTCCACTACTTATTGTCAACATTATGTATAAAAACTGAGTTGGTTCCCTGGTTGTTTTAAGTAGTAAATAAAATGCCTATAATTGCATCACAAACCCTGATTCCTATCACCACCGCTGTAAAGAAATGCGAGTCAGTTTCTTTACGCTGTAAAAATGTTTTTTTGCGAGCTCAACCTAAAAAAATCCTAAACAATTTAACTAGTTTTCTTTGACTCAAATAAACACTTTGAATGAAAAAGAAAAAATAAACAGGTTCGATCAGTGGTTACCAATCCAGTCCTCAGGGCCCCTTAAACAAGCCACATTTTTGTTCCAGCCCAACTCATACCACCCAGTTGGGAACTGCTGCGTTAGGTGAACAAAATCAATATTTTATATCAATAGAACTCAAAAAAACTGTTTACAGTGCATAATGCCTCATTTTTCTGTTCGCAAAGGAGAAATCACTCTGAACTACTTTGTTTACATCTCAACCATCGAATCTACAAAGACATTTTGAAAAATTGGTGGTATTCCCCTTTAAGAATAGCTTTAGAACTAGGGACTAAGGGGATAATCCATTTATGATAAATATTATATGTGCAGTTAACTGGAATCAGAAACTATTACCTGTGATTTGCACATTTTGCTGCATGAAAAGACTCATATATTATAGATTTATATATACATATATATTATAAATGATTTACAATTTGCCGCTTCCTAATTTGCATATACATAGTAAAATCAGCAAAAGCAAATGAAATCCACTAGTGTTAAATAAACTCTTCAACTCCAGTCTTCGATGCCCACTGTCCAGTACAGTTTGATGATGTCCAAATAGTTTGGAAATGACCATACTGTACTGGACACTGGCCTTGCAGGACTGAAGATGACTAACCATGGACAATATGTAGTCTTATTATGGGATAGGGGGAGGCAATATGTACTCTGAATGAGTTCATTTTGTGCTCACACTTTATTCTGATGGTCTCCTATATTTTAAATACAATACTGAAATTTCTTAACTAAATTTCAGATGAAACTCAACAGAGTTAGGGTTCTGACTGGGAACAGGATTAGAACCAGGGCTAAGGTTAGGGCAAGGTTTAGATTTAGGTTTTGGATTGAGGTTAAGGTTAGGGTTAGAGAGTGTTAGGTTTAGGGTTAGTGAAAAGTTAAGCTGAATTTAATAGATCATTAGTCGAATGTCAGTTAAACACCACATGAGCGTCTACAAATCATCTACAGTTCAACGTCAAAATAAAGTGTTTACCGTGTATTATTACAATCTCAGGTCTGCCTGGTGGAATGTGGAAAGGGTTTGCTGGGCCTAAACTGGGAGATCTGCCGCGCAGCCATGGAGGAAGGACCCCTGGAGTCCCTGTCAGTAGGGGGCGCCATGCTGAAAAGAGCCAAGGAGGAGGTGGAATCTGTTCTCCCTCTGGACCAGGGTGATGGAGGCCTGTTATATTCCAGCGGCCTGCAGAGGTTTGACCACGCGGCCCAGGCTTTGGGCCTGGATGACCTGGGCCGAGAGAGCCAAAGCACCCAGCTTAGTGCGGTTTACCAGTCCCAGCAGTCTCAGTCTGCAGAGGAAGACGAGGAAGAGCCAGAAAGAGGAAGGGAGCTGCAGAGTGAACAGGAAAATGCACCAGTAAACCTGACCAAGCGCTTTGGAGGCTTCCTCAAAAGCAAATACGGCTACAGGAAATTCATGGACCCTGGCAGGTCTTTACAGAAGAGGTACGGCGGCTTCATAGGTGTCCGCAAGTCTGCCCGTAAGTGGAACAACCAGAAGCGCTTCAGCGAGTTTCTAAAGCAGTACTTGGGCATGACCACTCGAGCTAGCGAGTTCAATAGCATGTCCACTGATATCACCCAGCAGAGCGAAGTGTAGGCCTCTTCAGTAGCAGTAGACTCACCCAGCAAGCCTTCATTTGTCCTGCTCAGTTAAGAGATACTATACATGTCTTTGTACATCTTCATGAAAAATTGACTATGGAATGCCATGTGTTTAGAAAAGTTCATCAAAGTATAAGATTTCATAACCACAGACTCAATACTAGTGCTGGGCGATATTGCTAAAATTCTATATCTCAATATTTTCCAAATATGTCATACCGTCAAGGTATGAGATGATATTGAAGTTTACATGAATAAAGTTAATGAAACCATGCTCAGTGCTGCTACTCAATGCTAAAGGAATGTCTTAGAAACAACTTGTTTTCATTGTTTTTCTTTTCTTTTCTTAAAATTACACCAAAGCGAATCCTACACAGTATTGTAAAAGATTTCCAGACAGAAACCACATTTCCAGAAAGAAAAGTTCGAATTTATTTAGATGTTTTATGTGTTTCAAACTATTCTTAACAGTTTGAAGAGCTCAGTTTGAGGTTTTTGTTATCTATCGATACTGTTAAAACAAAAAACAGTCTTGTTGAGTGACATCAGTACTGGTATTGATGATACAGGGTGTCCCAAAAAAGTGACATCATTTGAGATCTGAGTAACTACATGTCCTGGCAAATGAAATTAAATAGGCTTCCTGTTGAACCATACGAGATTTATTTCTCAAAATTTGAACAAGAAATTCAGAGTGTTGTAGATTTTATAACCGATTTCACAGCTTCACAAATGTAATATCTTCCGATACTGGTGGTCGTCCAGACCCCTTTGCGCTGCACAGACAGCCTTCCTCTCTGAATTTTTTGTGCCATGTCCAAATCTGCTTTCCAGTTGGTGCATTTTTATTGAATTTTCTCAGAAATGAACGCTGCACACTCTTGTTTGACTGTGTTCGAGCACATTCTAACACACAAAATTCATTTCTGGTGAACGACATTCTTCAACCTGAAAACTTGGTTAGTTTTTACACATTTTGTTAAAATTTGAGATCATTTGAGGGAGAGTTGTCTATGTTATTAGACTACAAAATGTCAATTCTTTTGGGACACCCTGTATATATTTGCCCAGCACTACTCAATACAGAAGCTAAAAGGGAATCTCATTCTAAAAGTAGCAAAACACTGGAACGTCCACATGGCATTCATTTTCACTGGGTCCCAAGTAAGGGCTCATTATTAAGTAATTTTCACCTTAGGTATTAAGTTCTCAGCACTACTGGTCAGCTATTTAGTCAGAGAACAAAGAGAACCCATCTGAGAGAGCTGTGGACTCCCCTGTCGGCTGAGGCCTCCATTCTAATGTCTAAAAGTGGTTTCCTCTTTACCACACTGCCATCTAGAGGTCAATAAGAAATGGCAATCCCCATAAATCATTAAGACAGCCTCCTTGCTGGGCAGTTATGGAATGTCAAGGAAGAAAAATTGTATTGAAAATTAGCAGACAATAGACGCTGACAGCAACAAAGCTAACAATTTCAACAATATCACCCCAGCCTGACATGGCAGTGAAAATACTACGCTTTGCAGCACAGTCTGTTAGACACTTGTTCTATTTTCTTATCTCAGAAAACAACACCAAAAGCTTGTCATTTTGAAAAAGAAGAAAAAAGAGAGAACATGAAAAATGTATTTATGTAAACAGTGCTTTCTGATTCATGTATTTGCTTTTATTAATGCGATACAGCCATTATATTGCTCACCATTAATTATCAATTGTACATAGAAAAAGAACTGAACTATGTCAATAAAATAGTTTACTATTTCTTTTGTGGCTCGTCATAAAGCAAATGATTGTGTGTCTTGACGTATTTTGTTTGGTGCTATGTTAGCATATAAACATCACAAATCTATAATTGTACATTATCCTTAAATCCTTTTTTCACATGTGCTCTGCAAAAGGAGAAGAATACGTGAATCCTGTTCAATTAGTCCACCATTACTAATGACATCAAGCATTACTTAATCAGACCACCACACTTATTTAATTATTCAGTTCACAGCTGGACTGTTCTGGAAGCTTTTAGGATTATGTTTTGAAGTTATGCATATGTTAAGTTATGAATTGGTAATACCAGAACCAGTTTGTGTATTGTGCTAGTATATATGTTCAAGAGTCAAGTGTGTACATATATAACACTCATAATAAACTATAGTTACAAAATTCATATCCAAAGTAAAATCCAAATTTTGAAGTAGTAATTTTTAAGCTGTTATGCACATGCCAAGAAAACTTCTGTATGAAGCAATATGACTCTGTTTAAAGGAGAATTCCACCAAATTTTCAAAATTTCTGCATGATTAAATCGTTAAGCTGTAAGCAATGTCATTCAGTGTGGTTTGGTGGTTTGGTGAAATGCTCCGCACTAGTGTGAAGTACTCTGTACCTACCAAGTAAGAATTGTTCACAGTGGTGGTGATAGGAACCAGACATCTAAAGTGAATAATAAGTGTTTAATGTCTCCAAAAGTTACTTCACAAAAAGTTGTCACACGAAATGGTTATGAATATGCTACGAGACATTTTTATGCTAAGGTTTTGGTCTAAAACGTACTTTTCAAAACACGTTCATGGTGGAGAGGTACATGCAGGGTGCTCAAAGGCAAAGTCTAAAAATATAAACTTTTTTAAATTTACCATTAGCAGTTTAGGTTCTGGGTAATACATAAAATGGCTATATTTGCACTATAGACCCCTAGATCCTCTCCTTGTACCATCATTGTAAAGGAATCTGAGTTTCTCTACACTGCACCACTTTACATCAAACCACTCTGAAGGAGTTTTGTTTATTGAATAATGCAGAAATTAAAAAAATGGTAGGAATTCCCCTTTTGCTTCTATTGTTAAATTCTACCCTGAAGGTGAAAAGAAGGAAAGGACCACACAGAAGAGGTGTTTCGACTTACATAGAAAGTGTATTAAAACATCAAAATGACATTCATATTTCAAACTGTATGCAAAACAGGTTTAGGAGAAAAAAAAATGCAATGAATCAGTCTTAAATTCCAGAGTAAATTCATGCAGCTGAAAATACTGTACAAGTAAATGTACAAGAGAACAGTTCATCACCTCATACGAATGCCTTTCACCTTCCATGAGCCAGTTTCTTTGATTAATTGCTGAATGTCCTCAAATATTTCTCCATTGACAGATCATCGGTGTCATACACAGTGAGTTCCGTAACGTCAGTGCTTTGGGGCTCCGTCATGTCCGGCGCTTTCGGAATTATACAAGCCAAATACGCCCCTGAACTCTAATGGCTTACTAGAAACAAATCGACACATTACAGCTACATGACGATGGAAAAGCTTACAAAGATACATCAAATATTTGGACCCGACATTAAGAGGCTCAGCTAATCAATTAATTATGGATGCATTATTTTGCTGTGGTACTTTTATTCCATGGTCTGGTTAAAAGAAATGTCTCTGATGAGATCCTATGATGAGCTGCTAGGATAGATATATAAACCTATGATAGCAAAGGTCCATTTAAGGAGGCACCTCTAACAAGAAGAGTGGTATAATATACTGATAATAAGCGAGTGCTCAGAGACACCGTTTAAAACATGAAGGAAAACAAGCATTCAATTTGAAAAGAAGCATAAGCATAAAATAATCAATATGTATAACTTTCAGTTATGCACAAACGATCATGGCTTTTAGTTGGGCTGCAATATGGCTGATGAAACCTGTGAATCTTCTTTTCAAATTGAATTTCAAATGATTGCATGAATGTCTGAATGATATCTTGTGTTAGACATGTTGTTTTCACAAAAAAAGAACAGAAAAAAGGAAAAGGAACACAAAAATAAGACACAATATAGAAATACATTGGTTGAGACATGATGCGCACTTTATGTAGTCATAGCTTTGAAAACTGTAATCCAAAAAAATCTTTTTTGCTCTTTTTCAAAGTATTCATGACATAAAACCTACATAACAGCATGTTTGCCGGTATACATGGCATACATAAACATAAAGGACTGTATGCTTTTAAAGCATTTACATAATAACTTTCATCGTTAAGCTGCCGTTTGTCTCCCCTGAAAAGAAAGTTTCTATAAAGCACACCTCTCTCTAATCTCAGAGCAACAAACAAATCAAGTTTTCTGGAATGACAGTCACTCATTTCTCCTCCGTGGATGGTAAACGTCAGGAGGTTTTTGGGCCAATCATCTGGAGTGTCTGGAATAAACTTTACAAAAAATATGGCTATTTTTTCTTGAAAATCAGCACCAGCTGGAAAAAAACAACAAAATAAAATAAAACGAAAATAAAAGGTCACACTTCATATTGATGAATGACCCAGGAAGACCGAGGGAGATGTAGGGGCAGAACAAGCTCTCTCCGCACTGTAACTCTGCCAGCACCGATGAAATTTCTTCACACACTGAGAGAACGCGAAGCACCTTGCCGTAAAAGTTCTTACAAAAAGTAAAAAATTATAAAAGGTGCTTATCTGGTTGGCCTCCAGCAATAGTTCCACTGTTCAAACATGCCAGTCTCTGCTGTGGGAACGGTCTCACTTTAGGCCGGTGTGCCGCCTCCAGCTCAGCACAGCTTCAGTCCAAAAACCTCTGGCAGGCTTTTTTCCAGCGGCAGGCTGTGCACCACTGGTCCCGGTGCTCGATGCCGTACACCTTCCGACACTTCTTAGCTTCCCCTCGAATCCTTCTGTATGTATGAAAGAAGATTTTGTGTTACATATATGTTGTTGCTGTCAGACTACAACCTCATCCATCTCCAAAATGCAGGAGAAGGAAATACATTCTTAATTTTCAATGTAAGCACATGTAAAGGCAATTTTTGACTACTTCTATTAGTCCAATCATCATGAAATTTTCACATAATGTAAAGGACTGGTGGAGTTTTCAAATGACACATGACAATATATGAATAGTGATCTTCTGCCGGAAACAAACTAAAATATGACAGAAGTATGTCAACCGTAGTAACTTATTTTCACTTTTCAAAATCAATAAAACGCAGTTTGAGCAGGGGTACCCAAACTTTTGCATACAACCGTATATATACAGTTGCAGAAACAAACTAACAAACAAACAAACAAACAAAGATCCCCATAAGGGATAAAATACATTGGCTATTAATTTGGGAACATCTTGTCTCTTATGAAATCCTAATTTTTGTAATTTAGCTTAAAAAAATATACACATTACATAAACAACATACACACACACACACACACATTATATATGTATATATATATATATATATATATATATATAAACATACATATACATATGCGTGTGCATATATTGTTTATATATACACATATATATACATACATACATTCATATATATATATATGTATAGGAAATGGAAAACCATATATTGAAACTCTTTCAGCCAAAGGTAGTTTAACCACCAGAAAGGTTTGAGTGCTGATGATTGGCGACATCAGAAATGATTCATTACTCCAATAAGTTTTTTTAAAAAGCTTATTGCAAAGGAACAAAGCAAATAGGCTTTTGATGGGCAATGTAAAAAGCACAGAACCAAGGACAGTTAAGAGAAGCACTAACCGCGTGACGCAGTGGCTTCTGGGCGGTGACAGACTGGCAGGGTGCGGCCTGGAGGGGGCACTGTGGTTCTGGAGCCACTGCTCTCCTACGCTGACGGAGCGACGCCGGAATGATGTTCCCTGGAGAGAAACAGAATGACAGAGATTGACCTCAGTGTCACAACACATTACAAGAGATCATATTGGAGTTTCAAATTATGCATAATGCTAATTAATTTTCAGTGGCACTTGCACAGATTTCAGCCACAACAGTGAAATTTAAGCAATAAAAAATCTGTAATGCTTTCATATGTTGAATAAAAGACACTCGAGGTGTACGTGTGCCTTTGTAAACTGTAAATGGAAGTGCGGATGAATGAGCACGTACAGTACAGTATGTACCCTAGAATCAACACTGTTGTCACGTGCTTACACAAAGAAAAACATGAGCCAGAGATTCACAGATTTGTGCACTAGGTGGCACTGTTGTATCACAATAACTAACTGGAAGTAGAACAAAGGCAAAACAAACATTTGCTGCAATTCCCAATGAGAAAATGTTACTGTAATATCTTTCTCTCAAGACTATGTACCACTCAGGCTGGCAAACATATGAGGTAAATGTGAAAACAGCCTAAGACATTTTAATTTGGCATCAACAAATAAAAAATAAGTCTTTTAGGCTGGGTCCTGCTTTCTATCTATGAAGCCAAAGAGCACAGTACACAACAACACTCAATAATGCAAAAGGCAGCACGTCCACTGTGAGTCATATCAGGACACTCCATCACGCACGTACAACAATTTCACATCACAAATTTCTCAACAAATCAGAGAGAGGAGTCACTAACCTGTTTGCTCTGGTGCCCAGTGAGGGGAGGAGTCCAGCGAGAGGTGGCAGGCACAGGCACGGGTTTGCACTGAGTTACCCGGACTGGCGGAGGAGCCTGGACAAACAGCACGAATTCAGAAATCAGGTCAAGGATGCCTCATCACATCGATTGTGACCAAATGAGACCCAACTGAACTGCATTCATTCACAGCATGAGAAAATAAAGCAGGAGATGTCACCACTGCTAAGCCTTGATCAAACGCAAGGTTTTTAGGAGTGCTAAGTGGAAATCATTTACATGAAAAAAATGTCAAGCATCCTACCTGGTATGAGTGTTCAGAGTGGACCTGCCAGAAGCTGCCAGGCGCAGACTGGCTGAGCGGGCTGGGCTGGAGAGTGTCTGGTGTAGGAGGAGAAGATCTCAGCTGGGTGGGGCTGGAAGGAGAACCGCAGAGAGAGCGCGGTGCACCACAGGCAGCTGGAACTGCGCTCTGCTCCACGTCCTGGTAGATCTCGGTGTAGTAAAAGTCTTCTTCCCTCTGCGAGTGCTCCTGTTCGCCATTTTGCCTGCTAATCAAGCAACGAACGGTGAGATGTAGAGGTGCAAACCTCAGACCTCAGTGTGATTCAAATACGATTCTTTGGGAAGAATCACAATTTGATTAAATTAGATTATGACTTAGAATTATTTTTTAAATACTCAAATGTTTATATGACTGGAACACATGAAATACAGCATCTCTTTTTATGCTTGAAATTAGTGCACACTTTATTACACATTCGCAGAACAGATTATAATTTACTCTAAAATATCAGCAGCTGAATCATCACCTTCAGATCAAAGCATTGGTGCATTTTGAAGAGATTTAAGTCATTCAGAATCTCAGTTGAGCTCTGAATGAGAGTTGACTGTAGTGAAAGTTTGTTACCTACCTCAGATGAAGCGTGCGAACATGCCGTTTGATGCCCACAATGGAAGTCAGTATTTTGCCGCAGTTTGGCCACAGGCACCTGTATGCCACCTTCACTGAGTTCTAAATGAAATAAAGCAAAAAGGACCCTAACTTAGTCTCACCAAAAGTCTAGAAGATGAAGCTCAAAGACAGAAAAACATAGAAAATCTAGGAAAACCTCTCCAAATTTTTAAGCCCACCTTGCGTTTCCTTGGTGCTGGTTCATCAAACAGCACGTTTTCCATCTCCATGTCCAGTCCCTCATCTACTGGAGGGCCCTGGGCCTTATCCGACTCTGCCATAGGTGGAGATGGGGCGGGGCTATTGTTTCCATGGTCAGCGCTCCAGTAACCACCGTCAGACACTTCACTGCTTCCACAATCTGTCCCACCTGAGGCTGTGCATTAGAAGAGAGTCTTAGTAATGGCACAAATTCATTTCTGTATATGGACACGGTAAATGGTACATTTTAAAATTAACAATGTCTACATGCTATATCAAATACTTATATTTCAATACTCCATGATATGGACCCTATAAGCCTCTTGTGGGCAACTAACCTGGTCCTAATTCCCCCTGAATGGGGCTTTGGATCATTGGGCTGCAGGAAAGGCTGGTGAGGACCATAGCAGCCATGATTTCATCCATGTCCACAGTTTGATGGTTCCTAAAGTTATAAAGCAGAGGTATGAGCCCATCCATAAAAATAAAAAAAAGTTCAGATTCATGAAAACAATAGATTTGTACAACAGACATTAGTAGAATGTACCTCTTTGGCACATCAATTGAAGAAGAGACAGAGTGAGGGGGGCTGGCTGTGGGAGTCATCCACACGTCCTCCAGTTTCCGGTGGACGTGCTGATTGAGCTGTGGTACAAAGATAGATACCTCGTTGTCCACGTGGTTATGCTGCTCCACAACACCTCCGCACTCTTGACCACCACAATGCACAAACACCTGAGTCAGAGAGCATGAGGTAACAGATTAGATGAACAACATTACAGAGAAAAAACAAAGACCGTTACTGATTGAGTCTTGCATTTTTTGCATCAGATGGACTTTTCATTCCTACTCACCCTCTGTCCTGGATACAGTTTGACCCTCTGAAGGCCGTGCACCCCTGCTCCAAACCCAGAGATCACTGGACCCCCATCATGGTCTCCATTTGCTCCCACATCCACCAGACCGTCTGCAGAAGAGCTGCAGACCAAAGCTCCCAAAGGAGAGCGCTTCCCTAACCTGCTCTTAGGTAGCATTGTGGTTACCAACACGTTGTATATTCACTCCTGCGGGAGATTAGCTCCACTAATCAAAGGACGGAGTGGAAAGCTGGGAAGAGAAAACAGAAGGATGATTAGTTACTTCAACCGTTACAAAAAAAGGTCCATTGTTGTCCATTTTTTTAGATTGACCCGAAGAGTAAGGGCATGTTTGTACGCTAAACACATTCACAACAATACGCCTGGCCTATTATAAGTATTGTTCAAGTGTGAAATCAACTTTACGCAAAGATTTCATACATTTTGTTGGTTCTTCTCTTATGATGCGCCAGTGATGACACAACTGCATGACAACCAATGAGCAACGGTGCTGCTCAACAAATACTGGTCAAGGTGGGTATTTTGCAGCCAACTTTGTATGAGCTGACTTGTTTTAATAACAGTGTTATAATAATAATAATAATAATACTAATATGACACATTTATGAACTACGTCTCAAGTTCATTCAGCCCCATTCAGTTCCTCTCCATTCAAGCCGTTGCTCTCCATGGGGAATTGAGGCAGGTGACTAGCTGATGAACAGAAAGAGCACTGCTCAAAATAGAAAACAGTGCAGAATCTAGTAATTTTGGTCTAAATGTACACGACTCCCACAGATCGCCTGGCCTCACCTCTCATTACAACCTGTTGCAGCTGAGAACAGCAATCAGGCATGCAGCCACTCACTGGGCAAGTATTTAGACATGATGATGCTAAATGATGCAAAATCCGAAAGACTACGCGCGAGACTCTGACTCATCAGTCCATGAGATGAAACTGCTTTAAACCGCCTGTGGATGACACCACTGAAGTTTGTATCCTGCAGTTTTGGTTACTGCTATGGCCATTAAGGGCCCAACCAAGCCAGAACATTCAAACACCATAACACTCAAAGGCACTGGTAAGTGTTAGTGGGCCATTATCAAAAACTGGTTTTAGGTTTCCTCTGTTCCAGTAAAGACTGATTCACCAGCACAACTGATCGTAATAGAATTTTCCACGGTTGCAAAACATGCTGCATTTCTCCTGTTGCAGCAGTGCAGAAGGTGCAAAAGCATTGCAGAAAGACGTCAGTGCCTTATCCCAGGTCAACTACTGTTACAGTTTTAGTTATACTCAACCATTTAGGAACATATACATCGCTAATTACAAAAGAAATGAGAAACAATTACAACTTGAGTTGTAATTACAATGCAATAGCAAGCACTTAGACAATAATGGGGTTTTAAAAAATCAGCTGCTGCCATAAGTTTCAGATATCAGGTCATATGGCCTACATGAACTTGAAGGCCACTGAAAGTAAAAGCAGCAACACCTATCAACGCGCTTTAAGAAAGTGGGTGTGGACATGTGGAACACCTGTCTGCTCCCTAACAGGATATTTAGTGGATAACAGATATTGAGACAATGTTTTATCGCTAGCGTGATAAATTACGTCACAAACCACTTTTCTGAGCACACTGTTGATATCATCAATGCTTAACACTCACTAACTGCATGTTTTATTACAAAGAGAGCATAATTAGCCATCAGGCCTGGACATTTTTTCCAAATTCAATGCTTTTTTCGACCTTTTTATGACATGAACACAAGAAAAATAATATACTTTTCACCACACAACAATGTATACAAACTTTAAATGGCACATATTCATGCCTTTTTTATTCAAACAGTGCTCTGCTTCTGACCACAGGCCCACAGCCTGGATACATTTGGTCAGTTGACTCTTCTGAATTTGTTTAACGTACATGATGACTCTTTTCAAACCAACCATCTCAGATTTAAATACCTATAATATTAAAAATTAAGACATTTCCAGATATTTTATCACTGTTTAAAAAAAATCTTTGGGACTTTATAATACTTTATAAGGATCCGCAGAAACTTTGGTCCCGTTTGATTGGACACAGAGCAGCGTACTGTGCAAAAAAGTCATTGTACAGTTTTAAAAACTGGGTCATTGCCGGTGCAGTGTCTGTTCTACATGGGCAAATCTCAGAAAAACATTAAATGCAATGTTACATATGTAAATTATGTATATTTTGAATGCTTTATTTTTTGCCATGTTGCCCACCACTAATTATAGTTGTGGTACTTGACTAAGAAGTCCAAAACAAGCCACATACCACAATGATCAACTCAAAGGAATTCCCTTCCTAACTGACCCAGCCAAACCGTGCAAATTGTGGACCCCCCCAACCCTCACCCCTCAACTCCCCAAACACACAGTTGTTTCGCAGCAGTCTCTGTGGCTATGCAAATCAGGGTGTCCCTAATTCTTCCCCACCGACAGCCCATGTGTAATTCAATCATATATTCAATAAATAAAATGATCAAAACAACACTTTAAGAGGAGGCAGTGAGCTAAAAGTGCACGTAGGACATTTTTCTAGGTCCAGACTGCACTGTTCTTCAACAGTTTATAATATATAACATGTGGTATTAAGTTACAGGTTGGCAACAAAGCAACGCCACCCTCAGTGATATGGGAGTTAACAGTTAACTGAACTGAAGCGTTTGGCCCATATGCGTGTGTTGGGGCCAGTGACGTCATCAGCACACTTCCAGCAGCCCAGCGAGCCGTTTAATCCTCCATAAATGTATCAGGAAATATACATACATTTATACCCGTATATACTCGGAGAACGACGACGGCACAGCTGGAAATATTCACAGCAAAAAGCAGCAGTGAATGAAAGAGCCTCTCCTGCATGAGTCCAAACACTCATTCACTCAGTCCAAAGCTCTCTGCTCACTAATGCTGCTTAACTATACTTCAGGGTTGTATTTTTAGTTAAGCAGACTTGTGCCGCCGTCACCACTACCCGAGCAAGTTTATTCCACGCACAAATCAAATGTTTACACATAATAGGACTTTTTTTTCTTGGTATGCTGTAAGATTCAGATCACACATCCATTTAAAGTCAACTGTTGAATGGATATACGCGAGAAACACGAAGCAAGCAGCCTGTGCATTTTGTATTTTACCATCTTTTAGAAAGAGCATTTAGTTATGGTCTCAATGAAGGACAGCCCCTCTTTGCCTGTATATCCACAATCAAGCAGTCGGACAAATTCTATGAATTAGTTTCACTCAGTTAGTTAAACAAACACAGACATAAGCTGACGATCCATTCGATTACTGTACGATAAAAGCAGCAATATTCAGACAAATACAGCAAAACTTTCAACAAACAAGCGCGTACCTACCTTTGCAGTCATCCAACACACCCCCTTTTGCTCTCAGCTTGCTCTGACCGGCTGTAACTTGAAAAGGCTCTTTTCAAAGCCCACCAAGTGGAGCTTTGCGCATGCTCAAAAACGCGGCCTGGATTTCTCGCAGCGGGACGGGCTTCCTAGATCTTCCACGCAAACACGGCGACGTTTGTTGCCGTGTATATTGCTCGATACCGCTAGTTTGAGGTTCGAAGTTGTTTATGTGATATACTGAGGCTGATAAAAGCGCAGCGTTTGCGTCTTTGTCGTCGAATTGTACTGTATGTAGGTGAAATCCGCACCGGCATTTGAATCTGCCCCCCTCCAGCTCCTGTAGTAAACAGCCCGACCATGTGGTGAGGAGCCCAGCGCTCATTGGCTAATATCTGTTTTCCAAGACACACGCCCTACAAATCCAACTTGTTTACGCCGGAGTGGAGGAGGAAGGCAGAGGCAAAGGAACACAATGGACATCGTTTTAGCAAAGACGTGCATTTTCGCATTATCCCACTGTGTGTTTATGGCATGCTCACCGTATGCTTGCTGCAGCAGGCAGGAGGCAAATAAATCAGAGTTACAGAGCACCGACTGCTGCTGCTCACTCGGCCCAGTTATTTAGGAATGCAGTTCTCAGTTTTAACCACAGTCACTGTTCGTGTTCATGAGCACGACTTTAAAAGTAAAGAAGTATGCATTGGGTTTCAGTGCACAAAGTCTGGAACCACTGTTATTGTAGGATGCAATGCAAAAGCTCTTCGGTTTCAGCCACAAGTTGCACGGCTTATTTGCATTATAATGAAAAAACTATATATTTGGATCAATGCATATACAAAACGCTGTAAACGCTGCAGACGTGCGAGGAGAGCGAGACAGAGAGTGCCTATATATTTGTGCATGTGATTACATAACACACTCCTGGGGCTCCGCGCGTTGTGATTGGTGGATTCGACGTGACGCGCCCGCGTTTCAGAACAGTGTACGTGCAGCGGAACATGCGGCTCGAGCGGAGCACAAAGCTCGTGCTGCACGTCTCACAGTTACGCAGTTAGTTGATTCAGTACAGGAACCGATTCATTGAAGCTGATCGTATACGATGAACCGAAGCCAGGTTTAGAGATTCATTGACTCAACTATTAAAGGGGAATTACACCGATTTGTACAAATTTCTGCATAATTCAGTCGCTCAGATGTAAACAAAGGCATTTAGAGTAGTTTGATGAGAATGGCTCATTAGCAATTTGGATTTTTTTTACAGTGGTAGTGATCGGAACCAGGGGTCACAGGATTGACAATGAAGCCATAGCTGTTTTTATTTACTATACAAAATGACTAGTAAACCTACCTTTTTGGTTCACCTTGGAGACGTAAAGTCAGACAGTAGCTCATCTGTTGCTGCACAGGTTGTGTTGGTCATCTTCTAGTCATTCATCAGTGGTCACAGGATGCTGCCCACAGGATGCTGTTGGTTGGATATATTTGGTTGGTGCACTATTCTCAGTCCAGCAGTGACACTGAGGTGTTTAACAGCTTTAAAAACTGCATTGCTGTGTCAGATTCTCTCGGACCAACACTAACACACCACCACCACGTCAGTGTCACTGCAGTGCTGAGAATGATCCGCCACCCAAATAATACCTGCTCTGTGGGGGTCCATGGGGGTCCTGTCCACTGAAGAACAGGGTGAAAGGGGGCTAACAAAGTATGCAAAGAAACAGATAGATTAGTCTGTAATGGTATATCTACAAAGGGCATCTATATGGTAAGTGGGGCTGATAAAATGGGTAAAGAGTGTAGAAACAAGGAGATTTTTTTTAATGTTATGGCTGATCGGTGTTATGTTGTGATTTTATGAGGATACATTTCGAAAGAATCATTCAGAATCTATTAGTCGTGTAACTCGGAAACTTTCGATTCCGATTGACTTTCCGAATCGATTCAAAAGAATGATTCATTCAGTCCGGCATCGCTGCTGAGAGCCTCGCGTTATAAATCCTAGAAAGTGACTCAAAACTTTATCGTCCATCTTCCATCAGCTGCTCCACTTTCATAACAGACGCCGGAATGTAGCTGCTGCACCATTTAAAGTGGGACGGAAAAATGTCAACAATTCCAAGTTCAGCCTCGTTGTTTTTTCGATGTTTACATTCGATACTGATAGTTATAACGTTACTTTTCAAAGCTGTAGTTTCGTCTACAGCCTCCTTTTTAATTATTATGCCTTTTGTTATTTGAAATATTGTGTTCACTCTTAGAGTACGACTGTAATTTTTTGTTAAATGTCGTAAACAGTCGCCATCTTTCAACCGCTGCGTACCATTCAAAACATTTAACCTAATGTAGGCAAGTAGTTTTAGCGCTTAACGGTTTACCGACATTCGTGTTTGAATGCGACACCGACCAAGTTCGGCTGAAGCAGTAGGACACGCCATTTCGCTGTAAGTTGTTTGTTTTTCCCAAGTTCGGTTCGCGGCTTTTTAAGTTGTAGTTTCAAAGCTGAGGCGTTCTACCGTAATCAAAACTGAGTAGGCATCCTCAAAAACTACACTGCCCATGATGCATTGCGAGAGCAGCTGGCTGGTAGCACAACGGCTAGAACAGAAAGTTTACAGCTCCGAGGCGTGTGAAAACGGTTACTGTCCAAAACGGATCACACACGAAAACACGCCGAATGAATCAATCGTTTAGAAGCAGAATCATGTTGTATTTTTAGCGAAGTCTTTAAAACATGTATGTTAAATCATTTAAAAAGCCGTTATATGTTTATTATCCCTGCTGAAAAAGACCATTAGGAGTAAAGCCTTGGCTTAACCCTGAGAGACCACTACACTCTTTAAAAAGATGGTTCTTCAAGGGTTCTTTATTAAAGGCAGTAGTTCTGTTTAGAACTATGAGTTCCATATAGCACTTTTATGCTTAAATGGGTCTTTGCATGGTGAAATTGGTCTTTAGATTGTTGTAGGCCTATGTGGTGCTATATATTAAAAAATGGTTCTATATAGCAATAGAAGAACAGTTTTTGGTGCTATAAACAACCATATTCGACACATTTCCATCAAACTGAAAAAAAAAACATTTAAGCATGGATTTGTTCTTTATAGAAATGATGGTTCTAAATAGAACCCCTGCCTCTACTAAAGAACCATATTTAGAGTGTAGTTTTCCTGTAGGACACTTTAAAATCCCAATAGGAAACCAGAACACCTATTAAACCATTAAAATCTTCAACCTGGTGATATCAACCCATCAGAAAAACACAAAATATCATTACTGATTATTGGACACCAACAGAAACCTTTAATAGTTTCTATGATTTGTTTCAGCGGGGATATGATACGTTGTACTATGAATGAGAAAGCAATGATAATTGCCCTTAACACTCATTAATAATGGATCTTCTAATGTAGAACCTGTATTATAGCTGCTAAGAATTAAAAGATAACACAGATTAGAGTTTTATGAATTTATTTTCATCAGGACATTGTTTTAAAAGATAAAGGTAAAATGAGGTTAACCTTCAGCAGACCTATAGGTTCAGTCATATAGCGACACACAGTGGCTTCTGTTATGTGAGTGACAGCACATGTGGACAAACATGGCCTGATGACAGCTGCCTGCTGTGCACAGATCTTGCTCATGACTTTTTCTACTTTTACAGACAGTTGCATCAGACTGTTCTACACAGAGACTCCTTAAGGACTGTCTTTGTGGGTGGGCAAAATAGCAAAAATAGAACATCATGATATTGAAAAAATGTTCACAGTACGCTACATGCATCTCGATAGAGTTTGGTAAGTTGGATCAGGCAAAAAAGAAGCAGTAGTGCCACATTTAAAATCGAAAACCATACAATGATTACATTGAATAAAACTATACAGTGAGTTTAGAGATTTTTAGTAAATATCTCACATATTGCACTACACAAAATGTAATTAATCAAGGATAATTAAGCTTTGTAATGAATATGCAGTTGTTCAGTGATCTTCAGGTACTGACAATATCCATGCTCAGAAATGTATATTGTAATGTAAAAGATCACAATACCAACGAATATCATCATATTACCCACCCCTACTGTTCTATAAGAGTTTGCGTGTTATAAAGCAAGCCATTACGCTGTGAGGAGGTTGAGGTCACTGTCATTCAGCAGTTATTTCGCTTCATGCCGTGATTCAGCGGTAACTACATTTCCCTTTAACCTGAGTCACAGGATACGGGCAAAGGAAATGTTTTTTAAGTTACATTTTCTCCACTCAGAAACTTTCTTTTAGACTTTTTTATGTACTTATTTAAAATTGCTTGTAAGCTTCACTGTTAGGTTCATCATGTGTAATTTATAACATAGCTTCAAAGGACAGCTTCCATTTACCCTGCATGCCCTTAGCAGACAGCCCTTTCCCTTAGCTTCCATTTACCCTACATGCCCTTAGCAGACAGCCCTTTCCCTTAGCTTCCATTTACCCTACATGCCCTTAGCAGACAGCCCTTTCCCTTAGCTTCCGTTTACCCTACATGCCCTTAGCAGACAGCCCTTCTGGTTAGTGAGTTCTGGTACTTAAGGTGCACCCATTGCTGAAGCTGCTCCATAGAAAAGCACTGCCAATAGAATGTGATACTGTGGCACAGCCACACATGAGCCTAAGGTCACCATACCCAGAGTGTCAGCCTGTCTGAAGTGATTGAGCGCCATCCATATATGGCTGACAGAAAATTACAAATCATAAAAAATACACACACACACACACACACATAGATACTAATATATATATATGTGTGTGTGTGTGTGTGTGTGTGTGTGTCTAATATATATATATATATATATATATATATATATATACAGAATTGCCTCGAATAAAATCTCCTTACATGAACTTACATTGAAAGTAAAGAACATTTCTGCCATCTCCTATAAAGCTACCGTTTTGGAGATACTTTGAACAGTGATGATATTAGAGGTAAGTTAGTCTGAGCATAAATTTATCAAAACTGCATATTAAAGTTAAAAGTCATACGGTTTATTCCAGATCTTCACATATTTGTCTTGTCTTCATGTAGATTTAGCACAGTCGTCATTTTGAAAAAAAAAGGATTGATATGAATACTTGCAGTTCTACAGAGCTCAATTTTCTAAAGAGATGGACATGTTAACAGTTTTTCAGCAGAGTATGGTTCCAGCTGCTTTAAACACTTTTCAGAATGTCCTGATGGTGGAGGTGGGCGATATGGCAAACATATCACGACACTTGAAGACATTTTCATGTTGCACAGTACATATGAGAACATTTTGCTTTCCAGAGGTTGTCTAAGTTAGAACACACACGGTGCACCAGTACTTGCACAATTGAAAAAAAACAAAAACAAACAATGATTATTTAACATTTCACATATACTGCACTTAATCTGGTAAAATATGACCAACTATTCTCTCTTTGCAATAAAAGACGCAGTCTGTCAGTATCTTTTTTGATGTATTGACGATATCCTTAATATGCTCAGAAATTATACAACAGTTCAGTGGACACAATCTGATTGGTTAAGAAGTGATCTGCCCATTATCTCACAATAACTGCGCCGTTCTTCTGAGCACTGATTTCTAATTAATGGCTTGCCTTATAATGCAGTTACTGTTACTAACTTTGTACTTTATAAAAATAAAAATGGTTACATTAGCTAACTTTTGTAGGGAAATATTTGACCGGCAGATTGGTCAGATTCTGAGGAAGAGTGTGACAGCATGCCTACATCAAATCCTGAACCTGTTGTTGATCCTAAGCAAGCTTTTCGGTCAGCAGAAGCTTTTGTGATGGTGGAACAACTAAACAAACTGGAATTAGCCAGAAATGAACAGAATACAATTCAGTAAACAAGGTGGGCGGCAAAATGTTTTACAGCCTGGCTGGGATAAAATGACATTCAGGTTAAATATTGAAGAAGCTGCGCTGAATCTGATATTGCAGTTTTATGGCTCTGTCTGTAATGCAAAAGGCCATTACTACATTTTTTACTACTGTTGTTGAAAGGAATTGCCAATATTAAAGCTCATTTAATACAGTCTGAAGGGGCCTCTTTGCTTCTTTTGTTTATGTTGCAGAACTGTTATATAAATGCAGTAGATCACTGGAGGTCCTGTGATGATGACAGTATTTGCCTTTAGCTCATGCCTACAATCATATGACAGCCATGATGTTTGCAATAACACATGCCCTCTTGTGTTCTATTGCTTAACTTCATCATGATTATAATAAAATATTGATGGTCTCCAAGCCTACTTGGAGACCACAATTAGTGTTTGATTAAGACTCCAAGCAAACTCTAGTTCTCCAGGAGTAGTCGTGAAGAAATGTGGTCATGGTCATGCAATGATTTTTAGTTATTCAGCTTCTGTCTGGTAAAGGTGGTGATCCATCCTCTACCGTGTTTTCAACTGGTTCTTCAAGTGGTGGGCTGGAACGCTTGATCTTCTTACTTATGCGGGCATATGTGTCACTGATATTTCTCTTGCCAAGTTCCTCCTCCAGTTCCTCTGGTGGTGCAGGCAGATCTGACCCATTCCCCTGATGGCCGTTTGTCATGATGGACTCATACATAGCATATGGATTCAGCATCATCTCACTTTGGTCTGCGCTCACAGGGACTTCTCCTACAGTTTCATACATGTGCTGGGAGGTTTTGTATCGCATCTGCGGAGTGCTGGACAAGTCTCGATTGGTCTCGTCAGTCTGATCTCCCAAGGAAATTGTTTGGAAATCAGGCAGCTCTGAATTGATAAAGGGTTTGTCTGTTGAAAGAGTGTTTTCAGTGTATGTAGATACAGTTTGATCCACGGATCTCAGGCTTGTTTCCATGACTGGAAGTTCGGTTACAGCTGGGTTGGTGTTAGGCCTTTGGACGATCATGTCATCTCTGTCACCTGTTTTGGGAGAAGAAGCGTTGAAACGTTTATTAGCAACTTAACGTAAGTCAACTCACTGGATGAACTTATGAGTTAGTCTTGTAGATGGAAACTTAGTTTGGACAAAAGCCACACATTTAGAACACTGTTAAACCCTTGAACTCCAGGTTTATCATTATTCCTCCCGTTTTTAATCATAGGCCCTGCATTATTCTTATATTTCATTTTATTCTCTGTTGTCCATTTATTTTGTCTGTATGACAGGAGAAAGTCATACAGACAAAATGTGACTCCTAACAATCAAGCAAGACCTGGCAGACACCAAAACTGTCGCTGTCAGCTAAACAGCAAGCTTTCATCATCATCGAGAGAGAAGAACACTCAGCACTATGAGTCTGAAAGGATGTGACTAAAGAAAACAGACAAAACAGAAGAAAATCAAACAAAGAAGTTGTTGGTTTTCTCAGAATAATGGACTGACCACCCCAGAGTCCAGACCTCAACATCACTGAATATGTTTGAGATTACTTGGATCACAAAAGCAAAAAAAAGCAACCAACTGCTGAGACTGAACTTAAAACTTAGAACTTAAAAACTGAATGAAAAGAATAGAAGCTGTCATAAAGGTAAGGAGTGATGAAAATGATATTATATTTCACCGTTAAGGCTTCTGTGTATGTATCTGCCCTTTTTTGATGCTTAAGAGTGAACTTGTAAAGGCTGCTTGGACTGGAAATTATATAAATGTGTGGTGGTCTCTGAGTTGTGCGCCGAACTGAATGTACATTTGTACATTTAAACTGTAAACAATTGGTTGTTAGCAACAACAAGATTTGTTTGACACCTTTTTTGGTCACTGCAAAATTAAATGTGTTCTTACTAATGTGGGAAATAGTATCATTCTATCAGTAAGTTTGTCTAAACTTTTGACTGGTAGCGTACTTCAGTTTCCTCAACAAGGAAAAGAAGAAAACAGTTCCTCGGAGTTTAAAGGGGAATTCCACCAATTTTTCAAACTTTCTGCACAAATTAGTCATTAAAATATAAGTAATTCAAAGTCACGAATTAAAAAAATCTTTTCGGGCCAAACCTTTATCTCAAACTATTGTAAAACAATGTCTCAAGCATCATGCTGTGTATTTGTAACCATCTCATGTAATAATTTTCTGTGAGGGAGCTTTTAGGGAATTGAAAACTGTGGATGTCTGGTTCCTATCACTACCACAGTGAACAATTCTGACTTTGTAGGTTTCTCTAAAGTGGAGGATTTCACATCAAACCATTCTGAATTACATTGTTTAAACCTTAATTGTGCAATTATGGACATTTAAAAAGGTGGAATTCCTCTTTAATGTTTTAAAGATAGATCTCTGAAATTTGAATTAGTTGTAGAAGTCTGCAGCAATATTATGTACAGAAAAGTCATCAAGAAGAGATATAAACTTGTAAACTTGTCCAGTGTTCATACTCTCAAATACCCTGAGAAGGTGCTGGCCCAGTACCATTCATTGTCCTCTCTGGGTTGTGATCTGCAAGGCACAAATACATAATAATGTCATATTATATTATATTACTTTTCTGCATTAAAGTAAGGCTTATGGGTTGTTTTAGAAGAATTTAGGTGTATATAATCAGGTTATTACACTATGAGACCTTTCAGCATTCATCATTTGATGTTACAGTCCTCTGATGTCTGATAAACTGTATGTCTAAAAGCCTCCAGACACCCCTTTGAATTAGTAAATAGTTTAAGGTCCACCCATTGCTGACAGCAATTGTATGCATAAAGCTTGCTTAATCTCCATAGAAAAGGACTGCTAACAGAATGGGACACTCTGGAGTAGCCACACATGAGCCAAAGGTCAACAAGCCCAATGACAAACGTTAGCTAGAGGGGTATAAATCCCCCAGTTTTGGGCTGAGGAGCAGTGGAACAGTGTTCTCTAGAGTGATGAAGCTCCAGCCAACACCTTTGGGATGAGTTGGAGTGATTTAGAACTAATCATCCAACATCAGTGCCTGACCTCACTAATACTGTTGTGGCTGAATGCAATCAGATCCTCACAGCAATGTTCCAACATCTAGTGCAAAGCCTTCCCAGAACAGTGGAGGCTGTTATAGCAGCAGAGGGGGACAAACTCCCTATTAATACCCTTCATTTCAGAAGAAACGCTTATAAACAGATGTCTACAGACTTTTAGACGTGTAGTTTCAGTAAAGAGGTCAGGCTAAATCTTCAGGTCAAATCAGCTCAGCATGCACTGATGTCATTACATTCCTTGAATGAATCTTCCTTTCAAAATCCCTTCGTTCTGCTGATAAAAGAGGGAAACCTGCCTAAGGTGTGAGTCTTCCAGGATCTGAGCTCTTGCTGTCCGGCGGGTTTTACAGCCCCGTCCTCAGGCAGTGTGCTGAGATCTTGTGAGATAAGGACAAAGAGTTTGGTCAGTTGGTCTTTTAAATGATGATTGAGTTACAAAGAGGAACGCACAACTCCACTATTCGTGGGAAGGAGCACTCGGCTTACACTTTTCATCTTGCGTGATGTTAGCGGCAGCAGGGTTATCCACGGCCACTGCGACGTTTTCCAGTTGTACCTGTTTGGATCAGATTTCCATTTTAGAAGGCCTTGCTGTTTGTGTTTCCACACATCATGATTTGCAAATCTATGCAGTATGCTTATTTGCATATCTAGGTGGGTAATGGTTTAAAATTGGAAAAGTTTAAAAGATCAGTGTTTGGCTTTGCTTACGACTCGAACTAGTGTTGAATTTCTGGTCTCTGGAATGTCCTGCTGCAAATCAAACGAATGTCTGCAAAGCAACACAGAACAGTGGTGTTAAATAGCAGTGAAGTAAGATCAAACCGACATGTATGGTGTCATCTTTTATGCAATTCAGCTCACAAACAAAACAGCCTACTTTTAGGGCAAAGGTTAGAGAGATTACAGAAAGCATGAAGGCTGTGCTCATGGGAGACCTTGGCTGCCCTCTGTTGGATAAGATTAAAAATGGTATTTTCAACCCATAATATTTACTTAAAAGGTCACAAAAAGGTTAAAACACATTCAAGCTTACTTTCACTGGAATCCTTGCCTGCCCTCTGCTGGCTGTGAGAATAACTGCACTTCTATTTACTCGCAGCAGAGCTTAAAGCGGAATTTCCCTGATTTTACAAATTTCCTGCACAAATCGTTCGCCATTCAGAATGAAATGTTGCATTCTACATAACCTTACTGAGTTATTCATAATGGTGGTGATAGGAACCAGACGTCTGATACATTTAGTGCCTCTAAAAGCTCCCTCATAGAGAATTATATGAAGTGGTTTGAAATATGCTGCCATATGTATGAGACATCGTTTAACAACAGAGAGAATTTCGGCCTAAAACATGTTCTTTAAAATCCATTCATGGTGGAGAGGGACTGAGACATTGGGCCTCATTCATCAATATCCTGCCAAGTTTTTTCTTAAATGTGTTCTTGAGAAAGGTTCTAAGAAAAAGTCTACATCAGATTCATGACGTGTTCTTTAACCACAGAGCTGTTCACACCTTTGTGCTCTTGAGTGTGTGTAGATTCTGTTCTTACCTAAGAACAAATCCCAAATAAGAAAACACTGGTGAATGTCACAATCTTTGTGAAAACTGTGTAAGTGGGTTTTTAGAATAAATTTCTTCTTAATAATGAGGCCCGTTGTTTTTATATTTTTGAGATGAGAATAATTCTAGCCTAAAATGTATATTTTAAAATCTACCCATTGCACAAAAAGGCTGTTATAAGGCAAAATAGTCCCCCAAAACACACACACACACACACACACACACATTTTCTACACCGCTTATCCTTCTGGGTCGCGCCCCTAAAAACACATTTTTCAATTTATTTTACTATTACCTACATTACATAATTAAATTCATAAGACATGTATGCTCACAGGTCTATATGGCTGTATTTGGCTATATTGGTACTGTAGACATCTTGACGCCTGGTTCCTATAACCATCACTGTAAGTCTCTTAAGTTTCTCTACAATGAACCACATTACGTCATGTCAGACCACTCTGAATCTCTTTGAAAGACGTTTATTACATTTATTATATCTCAACAATTACATTGCAGAAATTTTGAAAAAGTGGTGGAATTAACCTTTAATGAGTGTAAAGGTTTAGGTTTTTTAGGCATAACAGTAACAGATAAAAGATTTAACAATTTACTATCTGACATTATATTTTTATGGTTTAAATCACCTGTTCAGTTGTATTTCAAGATAACTTTTATCTTAAATCAAAAGCCAAGATACTCATATCAATGATTAACAACTGTGTTAATCATAGTTCAAATGGAGAGCAGAGGGTGTTTTTAAGGCTCTGTTTGTAGGGCTAGTTTCTGGTATTGCAACATCAGACGTTTTCCACACAACAACACAACAGGTATGTGACCACTGACATGTGAAATATGTGTGTTTTAGTAGGCTTTCAGTTAGTCAGATCACAGAGCTCGTTCTAGGCTTGCCTGGGGCTTTGTTTCAGCACAAGAAGAATAAGCATAAAAGCTTTGAGAGAAACTCACAGTGACAGAAGACTACAGTGGACGGAAACCATGTGAAAAGGAATCAAAAGCAGCTGCTGACTTAACGACGGACTATAAATCGTCTCGTCATCACCACGTCTGACGACTCCCCCTAACCAGCCATGCCGAGCAATCCTGCATAACTGCACACTTTCACTGTTTATGTTCTCGTCTGGGTACTTTTTTTTTGGGTACTACAGCAGAGCTGTAGGGCGCAGTATTCGCTCTGTGTGACCCTTACTCTAGACGTGGATTCAAACTCTGGCATGAATGAGTAACACATATTTCCTGTCACAGTCTTGGAGCTGACAAACTCGACTGTGCTGTCCTGGAATGTTCTGCAGTGAGTGCGAGTGACAAAACGCTGCCTGAAAGCTGAAACTCAAAGTTTGGAACGGATAGAGGTGCTAAAGTGGAGTAGAACGAGTAACTCACTTCTGACATCTTGCGCAGAGAGCGAGGACTGTGATGGTGAGGATGAAGAGGATGATCAGAGAGACGACTGCGGCCCCTGGTAACCCTGCAGTCCCCCAGGCTCCCACGGCTGAGTAGATTGGTGCCATAACACTGTTTCTACAAACACAATGAGGGCATCATTTACAAATTGCTGCTCTGGGATATGTTCATTTGCATTGAGCCTCTCATAGGCAAATACAAACAGAAACAACAGTCCATCACAAAAAGCTATATCTAAACAGCACTGTGTGGAGAAATATACAGATATCAGCAAAAGGCTCCAATCAGGAATCACTGCTGGTGGTTTTTATAACAACTGAGGTCTTCAAGGAACATTAGAATAATGTTCCACCTAAATGTAGCAGGACAAATGATTGTATTCTCTGGTCAGATCAAGTCATAGAGTAACCAAAGGGGCAGTTGTGTGGTTTTTGTTTGGAGATACAGCACTCAGTAAGTCAGAAACCATGCTGCATTTATTAGATTACCAGTCAAAACAGCCATTTAGTAAATAAATTACACGTTAAATAATCTACTTGCATCGGGAACAGAAAGTCAAAGGCAAAAAAAAAAAACATGATTTCCCAAAACTCCCAAAACTGAGTTCAATCACAGAAAATGGGACTCATAACAACCATGCAAGACCCGGGTAGACCACCAAAACTGTCCCCATCAGATAAACAGTGCTTAAAGCTACATTATGTAAGTTTTGGGGATTTGGAGAACTGAGTCGAAACTTGGTAAAGGGTGTGTTTTCCGAGGATGTGAGTGAATTATCTATTATTGTCATCATATCTTCATCAGTATGATATTGATTTTGCATTTGAGATCTAAACATTAAGTCAGACCTTCGTTTTGATCCTGTGTGCGTGTGGTGTTAATATGTAAAGACATACAGTGTGGTCTGAAAAACTTATGCCAAATCCGACCCAATGCTTCGGACAAATTATTATTTCAGACTTTACAGGGCGACTCGCAGCAGCGCACACTCACTGCATTTTATTGTGTTCTTTTGTCTCCATGCTCAGTAAACCTACCACTTTTAGTTTTAACAAAAATATTACATAGTGCTGCCTAAAAGCTTTCGACTTTGAGAGAGAGGAGAAAATCAAGCTGCTTCAGATCTGAAAACATCCACGGATATTTCTGTCCATCTTTCCACTGTGAGAAGACAACTCAGCGCTATGAGTCTGAAAGGATGTGTAGCTGTCAAGAAGAACCTCACTGAGAAAAGGAAATGAACACAAAAGAAGAAAATTTGCTCTAGAACACTGAAACTGGCCATCTGAGATGTAGAGTAAGGTTTACAGACTGATGAGTCTGATTTTGTAATTGGGAATATTTGGATCATGAGAAGCAGAAAAAAGTTAAAGTGTGTAAAAATCTCTGCAGATTTCTTTAACAAAGAGAAAGTAAATCTCCTGAAATGAATAGAATCTTTAATAAAGGTAAAGAGTGGACACACTAAATCCAGAAAAAAAGATATTGTATGTCATTGTTGAGAGTTCTAAGTAATTATAATTATACATTATACACACAATACATACTTTTGTGTTAGGTTTATAATGTTTTTATTCCACCTAGTTATCGCTTTATTAAAAGACTGTTTCTGTTTTTCATCTTTTGTACTGCACTGGTCAACATTGGTTATTTTTAAACCTGATTTGTAAGTAGACTCCTCTGATAGGTCATGCTACCATTATTCAAGACCATATCCCACAAAATAAACAGTGCAGATATGTTCAAGAATGTGAAACTCAAACATAGCAGATATGAGAACCAGCACAAAAGCTTGCGTGGTTACATACCCTCCTTTTACAGATCTGTCAACATTGAAGTTTCATTTTAAATCTAAATTAGCGTATCTGCCCCAGATGGTCATAAGACTAGCCAAGCTAGTAGATTAGCATGCCCTGCAAAAAAACCTTTTTGACAAGCCTCAATATTTCCAGTTTAGTGTTGCTACATTTTTCCCATTTACACTGAATATTCACTGGATCAGAATGTTGACACTCTGAGTTTATGACATTTGGCATTATGCTGTTATTTCAAGATTGTATGCGGCCTCACTGAGGAAGTAGTTCTCAGGTTAAACTTATTATGGGGAGGCTAATGTGAATCTGCGGTACTGTCCAAGTTTTAGGCACCTAAGAAGGTTAGATGTGAAAAGATGCTCAGAAAAACACTTGCATTACAATGAATGTGAGTAATATTAACACACTAAGTATTGATTTGACATATTTCAGTTTGTTCATTCAACCATTTCCAAACCCATGCTGACATACAGTACCTGGCTTGGCTAATCAGTGCTTCACTACATTAAGTCAAGTGCGCTGATGATGGAATGTAACAAATCTGCATTATGGCTGGCATTCAGGAGAAATCTGGTACCACATTTTGTTATTTAAACTCACAAGATAACTACGTCTTTGAAATTATTGTTACTTCTTACTGTATTTCGGGTTAATTTGCATTCATTCTAACAATATATGGTGATATATAAACACAACTGCCAAGAAAAACAGGTGTGCTTGGGTGCCCAAGACTTTTACACAGAACTGAATGTGGTTCATTCTGATTTATTCACTATTAAAAAGAAAAATCTTAATTTATGAACTTTTTTGTTTTAGCAGACATTTTAGGTGTTTGTTTATATAAACAAATAACATATACAAATATACTAAGTTTGTATAACCCCTTAAATGGCCAGGAGAAACTTTTATTACCCATCTTTACTTAAAGGGGAATTCCACCAAATTCTCAAAATTTCGATATGATTCAGTCTTTGGGATGTAATGTCATCCTGAGTGGTTTGATGGGAAACGTTGCATTGTGAAGAAACTTACCAGCACAGATTTCTTTACAGTGGTGATGATAGGAACCAGGGGTCCCAGTGCCTACAGCACAAACCTGGACAATTTTTTTGCTATTCAGAGTGACCAATGAATCTAAATGAGTCTAAACGAGTTTTTATATGTAATGTTGGTAGTGAAAATCTAGTGGTAAATATGGAAAAAATAGTTTGCCTTATAACAGCTTACATGTACCACTCTGCCATGAATGTATTTAAAAATACATGTTTTAGGTCAAAATTGTATCACAAAACCATCATAAAATAATGTTTTAGATAGACCAGGAAGCATTTTCTGCATCATTTTATGTAATCACTTTGTGTGAGGAAGCTTTTAGAGGTAGGCTATTAACCTCTTCAGACATCTGATTCTAATCACCACCACTGTGAACAATTCTGACTTGGTAAGTTTCTCTAGAACAGAGCATTTCACACCAAACCACTCTGAATGACTTTGTTTACATCCTAATGGTTTCATCATGTGGAAATGTTGAAAAATCTGTGGAATTCCCCTTTAAGAGTAGCTCCACTGGTTTGCATTTTAGTCCATGTAGTTACTGAAAAACAGGCCTTAAGATTTAATGAGTGGGGGTTTTATAGGCGTAAATTACACAAAAAAACATAAAATAAGTCATTGTAGAATCTTACGTTAATTATTCCACACATTTCCATTCAATCAAATAGAAAACAGTCAGCATATACAGACCTTATTACCTTAATATTGAATTCAACTGAAATCAGTGTTGACATGTTTTGTTGTCACATTGTTTTTTTTTTTTGTTTTAAACCTATGAATTATTGCTTGGTTGTAAAAATAATGCTGGGATGTGGATATAACTTCTGATCGATGGCAGTGTTCCTTATCTGGCTGTAATGTGTTCATATAAGCTACAGATTCCTAGGTGGCTTCAGCCACACCCCAGAGCGAGAAGTAAAACTGGGTATTGGTTTGTATAACAAAAGCCACAAGATAAGACTTTATCTGTAATCCTTAAGTCTTCACCTCACCCATTTGCACAGTGGAGAACATGTTCTTATAGTAACAGTAACGGTAACAAAGTTTAAAAAGACAAGCCTCTGTGTGAGAACCAGCCTGGAGTCTTGAAACACTTCAGTGCTACGTTTTACTTGTGAGACACAAAATGAATATACAGATGGGATAAAAACTGATGAAACCCTTTAAACTGTTATTCAATTACTACTCTAAATTATTTCAGTGACTACAATGACACTAATATGTAGTGCTATGAAACTTATATACATATAAACGAATACAAAACTGACATGTATATAATGAAACTAGTAAGTTATGCAGTTATGAGAGTGTTTAAAGAGTTAAGCAGCGAAATCAGATGAAATCAGACACATATATATAAAATTTGACCAATATGTTCACTGTCATTTACTTACAGGTGTTGCTCTTGACCTCTTAACCTTTCTCTTAGGAGTTCATAAGCAGTCTTTGCTCAGCCTCATCTCCGTGTGGCAGTCCTACATGCTGAGGTCCAGTAACAGCTTCAAAACTCTGAGCAGCTTCTTAAAGCTGACCTCCTCTACGGTAGCAGCCAGTTCATGACTCACACAGCAAAGGTGCACCTTACTGCAAGGAAGAAATACTTTGACCGAGCTCACTTCCTCATTCTCTCTCTCTCTCTCACTCTCTCACTCTCCTTATCAGTTTTCTATGTAATTACAGGTAATCTGCCTTTCTCTGAATAGATTTACATACCTACACAGATGTAATATGAGTCGATAACTTTAGTGCTCTGCCACTAAATTTGTGTATTAAGATGTGAAGATGCAAACAGTGAGGTAGATTAGCCTGGAAATGAAAGGATGGATTACCTTTCCACAAATTTGACCCAGTTTATGGCAATTGCTCACTTGATCAGATTATCGCCACAAAACAATATAAGTAGGAGGGGAACACAGTCTCCACAGTCCCTTCACCAACAGAGCGCAGCAGGGAATCTGAGGCAGCTGAAGAAATGAAGAGTTTCATTTAAAAACGCATTAAAAACCAGAAGAATTCTCTTTTTTCTGCGATCTGTGTTGTTGGGAGGGAGCTTTATACATACAAGTAATATCAGTGATATTAATACCACCCTTAAATTAAAACGTTTTTTTCAGTTTTACATCAGCTAGTGTTCTATTTAAAAACCCATTATATCCAAACACTTTACCAATAGATATTCGCAGTGTGCAAAATATTCCCTGCTATTCAGGGGGTCCCCATGTTGGCTGGCTACTCCAGCACTGACTGACTGCTAACTCACACGCCATAGCGGCGCTGATGCTAGCTTAAATGACAACAAAATGCTCTTTTCTAGTTGGGTAATACAGTCTTCCACACATTAATTGAGATCTTACACGTTTTCCCCACAGGAGCTATTTTCTTATTCGGCTTCCACCAAACAGATCCACAGAAGACGGCATCTGCACTCCCATCCACGCAGCTGTAGAACATCTTAGAGAGCGAAGACAGCTTTGAATGCTGGTCATTGACAGCTCGGCACTCAACACTATTATTCTATCCAAGTTGACTGAAAAGCTCCACCTCTTTGGACTGACACCCTCCTTATGCAACTGGGTGCTGGTATATTATATATATACTCTTTTCACCCCTGACTGTGTTGTCTCACACAGTAACACCATCATCATCAAATTTGCTGATGATACCACTATCATGGCGCTGATCACTGGGCATTTTGAGACAGCCCATAAGAGGGTGATGGCAAACCTGGTAGCATGATTCCTTAAATGTCAAAACAAAGGAGATGATTGTGGACTATTGGAGGAGAGCAGTGCAGCACAAACCACTGCTCATATAGCAGACAGAGGTAGAGAAAGTGAGGACCATTGCTTACTCATCAGTGAAGATCTCACCTTTGCACAGTCTCATAACATGACACAACTAGTTAAGAAAGCACAATAATAACTGGCATGTCAGCCAGAATTCTAAGAAACCTCTACAAGTGAAACATTGAGAGTATTCTCACCAGCTCCGTCACGGTCAGGTTTGGAAACTGCTGTACCCAGATCCGCAAGTATCTGCAGTGGGTGGTCAGGACAGTCCAGACAATCTCAGGAATGGCCCTCTCACCAATAGAGGACATTTACTACTCCAGGGTCCTCAGGAGGGCTCACAAGATAATTAAGGTCAACCTCAACACAATCTCTTCACACTTCTCCCATCTGTCAGGCGACACAGGAGTGTGAAATCAAGGACCACCAGATTACGGAACAGTTTCTACCCCCCAGGCCGTCAGGACTCTGAACAACTTGCTCCCAGTGGCCCTCTCTCCAACCACCGTAGCACTTCATACTCCACTGACATAAGCATCTGACCACTGATGTGGTCCCAAATCCCCCCATACACCATTTACCTCTCTCCCACAAGATGGTTTGCACTCATACTGAATACTGTGAACACACGGTCTGTTTTTATGCCTGCTAGAACTTGTCACAGCTACAAACGGACCCAGACTGTATAGCATAATAATATGGTATTACTTTATTTTAATGAACACAATATTAGGGTTTATTACCATCTTGTTTAGTTGTTCAGTAAATCTCAAATTAGACACTTCTAATGATTTAACAGTTTATTCACTGTGCATTAAGCTTTATTCAATATGACCTGTATTAGCACATAATTACAGGTTTGTTATGTGAACACTACTTATAGTAATATATATATATATATATATATATATATATATATAACATATACAATTACATAATAAATTGTAATAATGAACAATATACACTTTGTTAAGACAATTGAGTTACTTGTTATTAGGCATGAATTCATCTAAGTTCACATCTTATTAGCATATTACGGCAGCAATTGATTCTTATAGGTTCTGGATAGGGTCAAATTTATTGATTTCTATAGGTTCTAGATCAGTGTCAAGTTTACAACTCATAAGAGTTTAATAAATCACTGATACATCAAAATGTGTTCCATATTCTATAGTGGAGTTTTAGTTGTCACTAATTAGTTAAAAGACACTAACCAAAGTTTCAGTAAGTCCTAAAAGTTTCAGTTGCATCCTATATTTCAAACAGCTAATGACTAAAACGGTGTATGACATGTTTTCTACAAGGATCTTTAAAGAATTTAAATACAGGACATTGCCACTAGATGGCAGAACATGTCTGTATTCATTCCACTGTTTACACACTTTGTAAGTTGTTCTGGGTGTAATGTGATGTAATGCAATAAAGTACGCTCAATACATTTATTCATGGAAAAATGAATGAATATGTAAATTTTCAAAGGGGTTCTTTGGTAAAGACAGTGGTTCTGTGTAGAACAATGAAAACCATTTGCATGCTTAAAGGGGTTTTTTTTTGCATGGTAAAATGATTCTTCAGACCGATAGAGAATGTGTTGCATGTGTTGTTATAAGCTTGACATCTTAACAATAGAAGAACTTGTTTTTGTGTTGTTATGTGGAACCCTTTTCATAAATGTTCCATAAAGAACCATATACATTCTCCATTAATCTGAAGAACAATTTGACTGTGCAAAGAACACTTTAAGCATGCAAATAGTTCCTTGAGTGTTCATGGTTCTACAAAGACCCATTGCCTTTACTAAAGAACTCTTAAAGAACAATCTTTTTAACAGCATTGTGCAAAAATCTTTAGCAACTGACATTTAGAAAGCTATCTAAATGAACAGCATTGGTTACTCAGAAAAACACTAATATTAGAATAAATAATAATAATAATAATAATACAAAAAGTAGATTTTATGTATGTTAATGTCTTCATTTAACCATTTCCACATCGCTCTCAGAAGACGCGTTTGTAGTTGTCATCCAATATAGTTTGTTTTGATCAATGCTTTATTAAATTAAATAAAGTAGTGCTGGTGATATAATTATGTAATAACAAATCCCTGTGACAGCTGGGGCATCATAGAGAAATCTGGATTCAAACTGACTCATCAACTATTTTTTTACTGCATTACGTTTATTAGCATTTATTCTAATGTTATATGTTGATTTTACAGGTACATACACACTCACTGCTGAGATAAATGGTTTTATGCATTACACTGAGGTGCCAATGTCTTTTGCACATGACTGTACATTCTAAATAAATAAAAACTGCAGTGATTTCCATGTATTATTCATATGAGTATCACTGGAGGTTGGGGGTGTGGTAAGACGTCAGCTCAGGGCCATGCTAAAAGTATCTCCATCTGGCTTGTTGTGAGCCATCACTCAGTTATGAGCTGAGACAGGCGCCGTCACCCTCTTCCTCTGCATTTCTCTGTTGTCCTAGCAACCGCTGAAGAGTGCGGCCTGAGTCTGGCAGGGCTTTTGTTGTGCTCTGAATGTCTGACGTCTCTGCAGAAGCCCTGCTGTCCGCCACCAACGTGACCCTCTGACGTGAGGGAGGCGGCTGCTGCTGCTGGAGCTAAAGGGCCTGACAGCACTGTTAGCTCTTAAAGGGGAAGAGAACCACAACAAATCCCCAGCCTGCTGCTCTCATAGAGGGAACTCTGATGAAAGTGTTTAAGGGGAGGATCTCATCTAGCCCTTCTCCCTATAGTTTACTTTTGCCTGTGTTGTCACTGAAGGGTTGCCTTTATGAAAGCTCCAATGAAATTGTACAGGCATCTAACCCTATTTACCTGTGAAGCTCCAACCCACCACCACTTCACTTACAGCACCGCTCTAAAGTCAGAGATCACCCTTTGTCTATTTATTTTTCAGCCTAAATGGTTATGAGTATGTGTTAAATAATTTTCCAGCGTCAGGAAAAAAGCAGAAAACATATATTTTACAGAAAACTGCACACAAACCTCAAAAACTAAATATAATATCACCTTTTTCAGTATTTAGTGTGTCCACTCTTTGCCTTTATCACAGCTTCCATTCTTTTCAGGAAACTTGCTTTCAGTTCTTCAAAGAAATCTGCAGGGATATTTTTCCACACCTCCAAAGTTCAGTCTTAAAAGTTGCTTGCATTTTCTGCTTCTGGGAAAAGCAACATCAGCACAAGAACTGTGCATCAGGAGCTTCATGAAATGGGTTTCCATGGATGAGCAGCTACACACAAGGCTCAGATGAGATATGTGCAATGTTAAGCATCGGCCAGAGTGGAGGTTGAAGAGTTTGGTGTGGAGAATCTCCAGTGCCCTGCACTGAGCCCTGATCCCAGCCCTTTGAGATCAACTGGAATGTTCAACATCAGAGCCTGACCTCACAAAATGTAATGTTATAACTGAAGTTTGGGGGGAGGAACGTGGCTGAAACCCCTCCTTCTTCCAATGTAATGCCCTACAAATTCACATCCTTACCTTGCGTTCCCATGATGAAGTGTTCGCAATCCCCACCACCACCCCATCTACCTGTTCCTCCGTCCAACATCAGTCCTACTACAGCTATGAGGGGGGGGGTCCGACCTTCTAGCTACAGGCAGAAGCCGTCCAGAGCTCCAGCCCAAATTCTCCCCCTTCCTCAGTCAATCTTCCTTCATACTACCACCACATGTTGAAGGCATCATCTGAACTCACAAATATTCTTTTGACTGAATTGGCAGCAGAGTGGAGTCTGTTATAGCCACAAATGGGGGGCAACCCCATAGCAATGCCCATGGTTTTGGAATAAGATGTCCAGCAAGCTCATATGGGTGATGGTCAGGTGTCCACAATCTTTGGCTATGTAGTGTACATATCCTAATTACATATGCATTTCAAAATATGTGTCAATAAATATATTTAAATATATTTTCTTGGCACATATACACATTTAAAAAATTAACATTGTTGCGTGTATGTTCTACATGGGCATATGTTTCAATATATTGGCACATATGTATATATATATATTGTTATGTAGGTAGAAATTTAAAATGACATATTTTATGTCTGTACTGGATTTGCTGCATCTTTTATTTGATGGTTGTATTTGTGGAAGCTCCAGTGAAGGTACAGGGGTAGCGTTTAACCCAGTGTTACATTTCTCTATCCCATGTGCAAAGGAAATTTGCCCTGCTATTTACATAGATTTTTGAAATATGTATCAAAGAAATCATTTTAGATACATAAATACTCTTGACACATATGTAAATTAAAGAAAGTTGCATTGTTACATGCTTTATAAATTTACTCTATATGCAAACATTTCAACATATTTATGCATATATTTGCATAATCGCTATGTATGTAAATTTTTAAAAAGGCATTCAAATATATTAAAATAAAAATTAAAGTGAAAGTGTGAGCATGGAGTGAATCAGCTGATCCCTTTCCCCTGAATCGTCTCTCTCTCTCTCTCTCACTCCCTCTCTCTCTCTCTCTCTCTCTCTCTCTCTCCCTCCCTCTCTCTCTCAGCCCTTCCCGTTCTTAGCTGAACGCAGACGAGCAGTTAGCTGGAGCAGCAGGCTGCTATATTGTCAGAGCCTGAAGCAGACACAGCGTATCTATTAGAGCACGCAGGAGGTGGAGGAGAATAAACATTCAGCTGCAGCATTAGAATGCCAGCCCCGTGCACCAGCCTGGCAGGGCAGCAGAGGGAGTGGAGGCAGGCTGGCAGGGCTGCAGCACCAGAGCTGTCCAACGTAACAGAGGAGGGCAATAAGAAGATGGACGGCATGGCCAGGAAACAGAGAGGTGGGTGACCAGCTTGAGGCCTGATAATGCATAGACACATTAAAATCTTCCATTATCCCCTTTAAATGCTCATCTCTGTTTGTTTACACTGGACACAGGTTCTGGACATCATGTCTTCTCTTCTGTTTTATATGGTTATCAGGTTGAACTATGTGAGAATGTGTCATGATTACAGTATAAGTGTTGATAAAAGGTATGATTTAAAAATACATGCAATCCAGTATACAGTAGACAGTGTATGTATCATAGAAGCCCAGCCCAGCTGTAAATATGTGCACACAGCACATAATTCTGTTTCTTTTCACAACATCTATTACGTGTGATGGTATTTTTACAGGCTGTTATGAAGCTACTCATTCCCTGAGGTGTTTTTATGTAATCACATGGTAACCTGTTATGTAACACGTGCACCAAAGAGAGGTGTATTCACAGAGTCTGACTCTGTGCAGTGATACATATTTTCTGTCATTTCCCTCATCCATCACCCTTGTTGTGGTGCTGACGTTGGAGCTCAGGGTCTCCGTGAGGACTGAAGTCAGGTGCTGAATCTGCTGTTCATAACAGCCTCCGAAAAACAAATATAGCCTTTGTAGCTTTCAGCAGGCCTTGGGCTGTGTGGATTCACAAGAAAAACTCAGAGGCAGCATGGGACAAGCCTCATGTTAGGCCACTGTTTTTGTTGTTGATGAGTGATAAGCTGTTTGCCCGACCTGTCTGATCAGCGGCCACCCTTCATTTATTTTATTTCCAGTTGAAATGGCAATTAAGCTTAATTTATTCATTTTTCTTAGTCAAGTCAAGTCAAAGTTTATTTATATAGCACTTTTTACAACAGGCATTATCACAAATCAGCTTTACAGAAAAAAAATCCGGGTCCGAGCCCTCATAAGTGTCACCAACGGCTACAGTGGCAAGGAAAGACTCCCTAAGACCAAGAGGAAGAAACCTTGAGAGAAACCAGGACTCAAAAGGGGAACCCATCCTACTCTGTTCGACACCGGATAGCAAACAATAACAGCAGAGAATAGCAGGTTTGATATACAATAACCTGCATGCACAAGAACAGGAAACACTGAAGGAAAATCATTAAAAAAACTGGAATCCATTAAAGATCCAGAGAATATAAAACTCCTAACAACCATGCAAGACCTGGTAGACACCAAAACTGTCCAGATAAACAGCACTTAAAGGTCTCATCTATGAGAGAGAGGAGAAAATCAAGCTGCTTCAGATCTGAAAACATCCACAGGAGTTTCTGTCCATCCTTCCACTGTGAGAAGATGACTCAGCGCTATGAGTCTGAAAGGATGTGTAGCTCTAAAGAAGCCCTTACTATGAAAAAAGAAGCTACTGGTGTTCTCAGAAGAACAGACTGACCACCCCAGAGCCCAGAACTAAACATCACTGAATGTGTCTGAGATTACATGGATCAAAAGATCCAGAAAGTGTAACTGAACTTTGGAAGTATGAAAAAATATCCCTGCAGATTTCTTTGAAAAACTTAAAGTGAGTCTCCCAAAAAGGATGGAAGCTCTAATAGAGGCAAAGGATGGACAAACTAAATACTAAAAAACACATTATATTTAGTCATTAAGGCTTCTGTGTAATTTTCTGTTAAATATGTTTTCTGCTATTTCCACTGAAAAATGAATAACTTGTACTTAATCTCTGACTTTTACACAGAACTGTATGTGCTTGATCAATTGTCTTTGGCAACAACAAGATCTCATGATATATCTGTCTTCTCAATTCCCTTCTAAAAGTCTCAGGTGGCTTTTCATGAAGGTGCTTGAGAGAATGTCAACAGTTTGGTCATTTTAACAGGAAATGTAATAAACAAAGTCCTGCATGAAGAAGTTAACATCACAAATATAGATCTGACATGAAGAGTCAAATCTTTAATTCATTTATTAACCCTTTGTGTCCTCACCAAGAAAAAAACAATGGACTTTTATATTTGGTATTTTTTATTTGTTTGGGGCAATTATAAAAAAAAATTGGTGTTTTTCTTTTTTTGCTTTTTGACCCCACAATTTTTTTAAATATTCATGTCTACAAACAGTCGGGATGGCACTTTGTGGCATATATAGTGACTCAAAAAGTGCTCTATACCAAATGGTTGAGCAGAACATTAAAAGGTTAAGTTGTTCATTATTTCCTTAAGGCCAGATGAGCTGTTTGCAATCTGTCTATATAATCACAGTGAGTGTTATATCCACACTGGTAAAAAAAACCTGTATGATATGCATGAAAGTCACGTTTGAGACAGAAGGGCATCAGAAAAACACTTTCAGTCGTCTTTTACAACGATTAATCACACATGAGGCATGGGCTTCATGCTGGGAACAGAAATGCAAGCAGCATCCTGCTGTCTTTCTGATTGTAATGCAAAGGTTTAAATTACCCCACTAGAACATTATGCTTTCAGAGAATTAAAGGCTTTGATCTCCATTATTTGGGAGACTGTGCTTGTTTCTTGGCCAAAATAAACAAATGATAATACAAGAAAAATGCAAACATCATAAAAGATGCAATAATCAGAGAAAAAAAAAATTATTTGCCAAGGCTGTAAACAGCTCTAACAGCAGTCATCACCATATATAAAAAGGATATAGTCTTGGTATCTATGTGCTTTACAGCTGCTGTAACTCCCTTTACTGATGTGTCACATGTTCAAGCCTTTTTATTGTAACATACAGAGACGATTACAGTCACAACAGTGACTCTGAGCACAGAATCTGATCTAATGTTGTTTTCCAGGGGCCGTGTCCAATGGGATGTCCAAAACGGAGCACAAACGAACAGCCTGTGCCCCATCTTTGACCACATCAGCACAGATCAGTAACCACAGAAGACATGGAAACACCACAGGTCTGAGAACAGCTCTTTTTGTTTATTTTGCATTGAAGAGTGCAAGTTGAGCTTATATGCTGTTGCTGTCCAAAAACAACCCCTTCCCATGTGATCAACTACTGCTGACAATAATTAAAAAAAGAATAATAATAATAGACAACACAAAAATTAATAGAAACCTTCTTGGCTTCTATTATAAGTGGGTTTTAGGTGGGTTTCCAGTAATACTTTAGTATAGAGGATATTCTAATGCTCTTATTAAGCCTTAATGAGCCAACATCTGGTAATTAAATGGCTGTTCATTACTACTTAATTAAGCAATAAGTAAGATGAGTAATGCATTTGTCAGAGCACTTTTATTTTATTTTTTTATGCAAATTAAATTTATTCATAATTCAGTACATAACACATTAGGTGTTCATTATACCCTTATTAGGCCTAATCAAGCAAATAAATGGTATATAACTCATCAAACCAATAACGGCTAATGAACAGGCTGCCTATTACTACTTTATAAAGCAGTAACTAATGTGAATTGAGCATTTTTCAGCGCACTTTTATTCATATTACATGTTATAATCTTTTGCATCATTTTTTGGTATAAAGACATCTTACTAGTGCCTTATCTTTATGATGAGATGCAGTCTATCAAGGTATGACAAGATATAGCTGGAAGCTCTGTAAAGAAGCACAGTTCATGCAGACCCCTTATTCAGACATGACCTATACACCAGATTTTAACACCTTCTGAGTACATCTAGAAATCTTTAGGGTTAGTTGGTCTTTATTTACAGCCATCTGATTTAATAGTCAACATATTGATAAAAATCAAAAGAAAAGATTCACAGCATGAACCCAATAAGTGGAAAACACGTCATTCTCTTTGGTTACTGCTTAATGCTTGCAAAGGTTTAATAAGAGCATTACAAGGGCATTATAATGCTGCCCTGTACTAAAGTGTTACCAGGTTTTCTGGTCTTTTTTTAAGTACAGAGAAACATGTCAATTTTTTATCTGTGGTAACTGATTGTACGCAAGACGTGCCAGATGAAGAGATTATGTTGAAAAATAATAAAGAGCATTGCTTTAAGTTACAGACCTGAGCCTTTACTGTCGGCCCTGCTGGCCTCTTTTCCTCTCTCGCTCTGTCCAGCTCCCATTCCCCATGCGGCCACTGTGGTGCTGTGGTGCAGTGGCATTGCTCTCCTCAGTTTTTGGGGTCACCCAAATTGTAGGACAGCTTTTACCCAACACAGTTTTGTTACTAAAGCACTCAGTACTCAAAACTGTTTTCCCTGAGCAAAATAGATAAGAGGGCATGTGACTGATTCAGCATCAGCGTTTGAACACGAGACCGAAATTATATTCTCGTGCATGGAGAGCATGCAAGCTTGGACTAAACTCCCACTGTGACTTCCTTGAAATTGAATCTCAGGCTTAATGACTCTAACAAACAGGCCAAGCAGCAAACTGCTTTCTAACTCTCATGTTAAATCTTGAAATCTGTATTATGTAACAATATTACAGGTGCCATGGGTGGGAATATAGGACTAATCAGGACCTAAGAACTTAAGAACTTATATTTTTTTCCACCTTGTATCTCCATTTTTGTTGATTTTAATATTTACACAATTCAAAAATGCGAGCTGCTGTTTACATTGTGTCAACATTTCATGACAAATGCACCAATAGAAATGGTCCAAACTGACTTGTTACATCAACTTACTGTTAAGAAAGTCTCTTGTAAAGTTGTTCTTTTGGAGAGACAAGATTTTGTTCCGAAAGCAACAATTTGTAGACCAAAGCCCACATCTGATGTTTATATTTACATTTACATAATTATATTAATATGAATGCTCTTCTATGAATAACTCCTTCCAACTGAAGTCACATTGCAGCAATGCTAAACTGTGATTGCTCTTTTGTTTCTCAGAGTCACAAGCGGTAAAAGTGGATGAGAGACTGCGACTGGCCCGTGAGCGAAGAGAGGAGCATCTCAAACAGCTTGGTATTTACCTCCCTGTGAAAGCTCCCTTAGAAGTCAATGGCTCGCGCATTCTCAATGATTAGTACATACAATTCCAGGTTTCTACTCCAGCTTTCACTTTCACTCTTACACTCAATGTGAACCCACTCTTCAAATCCTCACTCAGAACTACATGTAAGTAAAGGACATTAATACAGTACTGGTCAAAAGTTTGGAATCACTGTTTTCAATATCATAAAACCAATTTGATTTCAAAGGAATGTATACAATTATTCTAATATGTTAGTTCTGTACAATGTCACAGGCTTCAAATATTTAGTAGGACACCAGAAATCTGTAAATAAAAATAGATGTGTCTAGAATGATTAACAGAGCTGAAGATTCTAAACGGTCTGAGAAAGATGTTTAATGTTGAGAAGGTATAATAACATCAATATGCAGAATTTACCATACTTCAAAAGAGGTCAAATCTCAAAGAACATAACTTGACAAAAAGATAATTATAGTATGTTATTAACCGTTTAATAACTTCTCTATTCACAGAATTCTTGAAATACTGAATAAAGCATATAAAAAAATTGAATGTTTTTATCCAGATCATAAGCTATTACAAGTTATTTAGAAGTAACAAAAATTGTTAATGTGGCAAGTGATTTCAAACTTTTGGTTTGTATTGTATAATTATACATTAGTTTAATAGATTAAGATTGATAACTGAGTAATAAGCATAGGAATCAAAGGGTTAGCATCAATAACTAAATAATATCTAATAAATAAGCTATGGTTCAAAGGGTTAAGCTTAACAACTGAGTAATAAGCATAGTGTTCAGGTGTTAACATAAATAAATGAGTAATAAGCATAGCCTGTGTTTATTACTCAGTTATCAATGTTAACCTTTTGAACCCTATGCTTACTACTTAGTTGTTGATCCTTACTCCTTGAACCTTATACTTATTACTCACTTATTAATGTTAACCTTTTGAAACCTATGTTTATAACTCAGTTATTAATCTTTACCCCTTGAATCATATGCTTATTTTGAAGTTATTAATCTTTACTTCTTGAGCCCTGTGCTAATTACCCAGTTATTACTGTTAACCTTTTGACTCATATGCTTATAACTCAGTTATTAATCTTTACCCCTTGAGCCCTATGCTTATTATTCAGTTATTACTGTTGACCTTTTGAACCTTATGGTTGTTACACAGTTATTAATCTTTAACCCTCGGACCCTTTGCTTATTTTGAAGTTATTAATCTTTACCCCTTGAGCCCTATGCTTATTACTCAGTTATTATTGTTAACCTTTTGAACCTTATGCTTATTACTCAGTTATTAATATCTACCCCTTGAACCATACGCTTATTTTGAAGGTATTTATCTTAACATTAAAAACTGCATTATAAGCATATGATTTAAATGGTTAACATTAATATCTGAGTAATAAGCCTGCAAGCTGTAAATAACCATTTTGGTCATCAGGGAAATATGTGTCTATAATCTGTCTATAGCGTCCCGGGAGCGAGGCTGGCTGGCCCGGGAGGAGAGGGCAAGGAGGTACTATGAGAAGCACCTAGAGGAGCGTCGGAGGAAGCTGGAGGAGCAGAGGCAGAAAGAGGAAAGGAGGAGGATGGCAGTGGAGGAGAAACGCAGGCAGAGGCTCAAAGAGGAGCGAGTGAGTCTGGCTGAAGAGCACTCAGAGTTGCTGCAGTCTTGCTTTTTATTTTTAGAACTAATTGGTCATTTTGTGAAATGTCAGCGCATAAAGCGTTTTGTTGCTGCTTGGCTTAGGAGCGGTATGAATCTGTGGTGCGGAGAACCATAGAGAAGAGCCAGAAAGCCAAACAGAGAGCAGGCCACTCTCAGAGAGGAGGGAGTAGTGCCAGGAGCAGCACAAATGGTAAATATGTAATGCACATTTCAACACATCAAAGCTCTCTCCTGGGCTCCTTGTCCTCGTCCTAGGCTTCTGCCCTAACGCTACACTCTACCCATTGCTATCAGTGTCTGTGCTTTGCCCCTCTCCAGCTAAACGCCGCTGTCTTAGTCAGTGGGAGATAGACCTGGTTAGTCGCCTTCAGACACCCACAATCTCTTATCTAGCCAGAAGCAGGAGCGCTGTATGTCTATCACGAGGAGAAGGTAAACACCCACAGGAAAATGGGATATATATCAATATGTTGACAAAGTATTCTGATACAGAATATATTGTAAATTAATAACATTGTTCTATAGGCATTCAGAAAAGATACGCATGTTTTTTTTTAAAGTATAACAGCCCATTCACCCAGAGATTTGAGGGAAAATGTGTTCTAATGGTGGTCTGCTTGCTTTTCCCTTGTTCTCTTGTTTCTTTTCCTACGACTTGCATTTCTCGTGCTTTCATCTGAATTCACTTCCATTTTTCACAATTGTTTAAAATCAAAATCCACACTCCCATTGTTCAGTTGTTCATGTTTGTCGACGTTCAGCCTCATGCCACTCTGTGAGCTCCAGCGGTCCGCAGAAAGTGCGGCAGAGCTGTGGAACGGTGCCACAGAGGAGAGTCACTGGACCTGAAATGAAGAACAACCACAGAGCCTGCAACAAGGAGCCGGTGAGCTTTCGGCCTCTTTTTATTTTACTTCATTATTCAAACTACAATGGGAAAACATTTTGTATTGCTAATATTACCTGTGCTGAAATATTAATATTGTAAGCCAGGCATCAAACATGGGCTGCTGCCTTAAAGAGATGAACAATTAAAATTCAAAGCCTGACCAGTTGAATCAAGTTGAACTAGAGACCTGCTCTCTTTAGAAAGATGGTCCTTCAAGGGTTCTTTAGCAAAGAAAATGGTTCTGTACTGAGCAGTCAAAGAACCTTTTGCAAGATTAGAGGATCCTTTGCATCATGAAAGAGTTCTGGAGCATAACTTTTTTGCATTTTTTTTGCATTTTTAATGCATTTTGCATTAACTAAATTAAAGTTGTTGCCTTAACTTTTTAATGAAAATCTATGATGTGGATGGACCCCAGATGAGCTGATGTGGAATGACTCATATGTTAAATGCTAAATTAGAGCCTGATATCTCTGTCTGACGTTGTTTTTTGGTTCTGGAAATGTCCTAATAGCCGTTTTTGTCTCTTGCGGGTCTTAGAGGTCAGCTGGTGACCTGGAGAAAAGAGAATGGAAGAAGCCACAGTCTAACACATTAGCTGCTAGAGTGAACTCCACATTAAGCACAGGCTCGATCCTACAGGACAAAACAAAATCCTCATTAACAGGGTATGTAATAGATAAGCATATTGGGCCTCATTCACCAACTGTTCTTAGATTCTAATATTCAGCGATGTTTTCTTATTTAGGATTTGTCCTTAGGTAAGACTAGTACCTGCACACGCTCACAAAGGTGTGAACAAGTCTGTGGTTAAGAACACGTCACAGATCTGACAAAGACTTTTTCTTAGGATGTTTGTCAAGAACAAATTTAAAGAAAAAGCTTAAGAAGATATTGGTGAAGGAGGCCCGGTGCCACTGTCATCAAAACTTTATAACTCAGCTTTTTTAGCCTTTTATTACTGTTATTATCATTTTCAATCAAAAATGCTGTCTCATCTTTTCATGTCACTCCTGAAACAAAGAGTTTTAGTCCTTGGGGGAGCTTTATTTTAGCCACTCCCCTGCATTTTACGAGGTGAGACTGCCTCCCTGTCTCTCATGGCCACATGGTGAGCAGATAGATCCCACTGTTTTGAAGTAAATGTGTCCCAAAGTCTGAACATCACTGTAAGACATTAAGAATTGTCATTACCGAAACACATATTTTGCGCAGTTCAGTAACTTTTTGCATTTTAACAAAATAGTATGATTTAATGTGGGTGCAACTGTTCAAAGCTGCGCTTGTTCATCATGTACTGGCTAGCATTTTTGAGTTCTGCTCAAAATGAACTAAAATCGTCACTCCTGAAACAATCACTAATGACACAGTCACTACTGAAACATTTGGTAAAGTTGTCCGAAATGTGATTTGAACACTGATTTTGAACCAATTTGGCTGAATGGTCCATTTATACATGATTATATTAAGTGAATTGTCTGTATGTTGCCCCATCAAGGCCTTCAGTGAGACCTTCTCCGAGACAAGTGTCTCCCAGACAGGAGAGTCTTCCCCCCCTCGCTGAGGAGGATCCAGAGTCAGAGAACGTGCCCTCCTCCGATCAGCCTCAAGCTGACCAATTTTTGCAAGAGGACGCTGGACAGAATGGTCCATTCCTGGCAAGCCCCGCCTCTCCACGGCCTCTGGCCCTTCCAACCTGCCCTCAGATTTCCAATGGTGAGGGGAAAAAAAGACCTTTCCATTTTTGTGCATTTTATCCAAACACAAGATATGCGCAGTCTGAATACTGTCCTGTTTTGAGTTATTTAGAGGTTCTCCACCCCTCAGCGTAACAACACTGTGTTGATTCAGTGTCAGTAGGACACAGGCATACAGGAATTAATGTCCTACATGGAAGTAAGGCTGAAAATAGCACACAGTATTCAGAGCTAGGAACAACTATCTAGTTTCTGATATACAATACTCTTCAAAAGTTTGGAAACACTGCTCAAAGGATTTGGAATTATTGTTTTTGATCAAATAAATCTCACTTATTAAAATTATTAAGTGCTGTCAAGTCAATTATAGCTCCTGGCAAGCACACAGATAGTGTTTCTTCAGAATGTCCAGTTCTCTGATTGAGTCGTCAGGCTTCTGAATGGCGGGTTCATGATTTCTCTTATGGTTTCCAACCAACCACTAACTGGTCATCTTCTTCCTCTTTAACTTTCAACTCTTCCAAGCAAAATTACCTTTTCCAGTGAATCAGTTTGTCTCAGAATATGTCCAAGATTTGAGCGCTTCAGTTTGATCATCTGGACTTCGAGTGAGGGTCGAGGCTTGATTTGTTTGAGGATCCATTTGTTTTCTTTGCCATCCAAGGTTCTCTCAAAAGTCTTTGCCAGCATCAAAGTTTTAAGGCATCAATGAGTGCTTTTACATGTACTCAATAATCTGATCATAATCGGATTTCTGCAGTTATCTGATTATTCAAATGGTCATGTAAACACCATACTCCGATCTAGAAATCCAATTAAGAAATCTGATAAGGAGAGCTGGATTTTAGCTCAGTAATCAGATTTCTCAGTGCATGTAAACTCTTATTCAGATTTCTTTTGGATTTCTCAGTCTGAGCATGTGCAGAACAGAAAATGAGTGAGCAAAAAAAAAATGGCAGCAAAAGCACTTTTGGAGTGATGCTGAAACCAACTACATTCTCAACAAACTGAAGGATTTAAATATTCTTCATCTTCTAGGTGATGTATGTTCATATTTTCAGGTAAATTGGTGTCACGTCTTCTTCTGTGAGTTTATTGGCTGGTTTCAAAGCAGAAATCTGATTACTGTCTGACTCATGTAGACCTGGAGTTTCCCCATTACCTGATTACTCAAGTGCATGTAAACATGTTGATCGGATTACTGACAAAATCTGATTTTCTGCAGTTATCAGATTATTAAGTGCATGTAAATGCACTCAATATCTTTCCTGTCTCACTTGTTTATTGTCACCCTTATCATCATCATCATCATCATCTTTAACTGCTTAATCCAGATAGGGTCACGGTAGCTGTTGGGAGAGCTGAGAATCCCAGACAACCATGTCCCCCGCAACTTCCTCTAGCTCCCAGGCCAACTTGGAGATGTAAACCCTCCAGCAGGTCCTAGGACGACCTCGGGCGCCTCATCCCAGTAGGCATGCCTGGTAAACCTCCGCCAGGAAGCGGCCAGGGGCCATCCTGATCAGACACTGGAACCACTTCAACTTGTTCCTCTCAATGTGGAGAAGTAGCGGTTCCTCCCAGATGACCGAGCTCCTCAATCAAGCAGAGTTTAGCCACGACCCTGTGAAGAAAGCTCATTTCCACCCCTTGTATTCGCGATCTCATTCTTTCAGTCACAACCCAAAGTTCATGACCACGGCTGAGGGTGGGGATATAGACTGACCAGTAAACAGAGAGCTCCCCTCTCACTACTACAGTCCAGTACAGCGACCGCATTACTGCTGCTGCCTGTCCCAGCCTGCAGCCGAGCTCACAATCCCTCTTCCCATCACTTGTGAACAAGACCCCAAAATACTTAAGCTCCTCCACCTGGGGCAGGTCCTTTCACCACTTGTTATTGTCCCATCCATAAAGAAGCACAGAGAAGACCATATCCTGGATAATTATTATCTTTGTTTGTACAGACAAATCGTTGCATGTAGGAAACTGAGAAAAATGTCACTTACCTCAGATCTAGCCAACTAGCAAAGAGTATTTGAAGTCCAAAGTTTTCATTAGTTTTGTACTGAAGCTACAAGGCTAATTAGTAATGAAGCTTATGTCTACTAACTAGCATTGTGTACACTACAAAAACTGGGGTGCTCAATCCTGGTCCTGAAGATCAACCACCCTGGAAAGTTCAGATCCAACATGCCTGTCTCTGATATTCAAATACGATCTGGAAGGCCTTCATTACCTGGATCACATGTGTAAGACTAGGGCTGGAGCTAAACTCTGCAGGCCGTAGATCTCTAGGACCAGGATTGGGCACCCCTGGCCCAAAGCGTCACACAGGAGTTGTTAAGCAATCTCAGATAGACTTGATTATGTAGTTTGTGACACACAAGCAAGACACAATTCACAAACATGTCCTGGCTGATGTTATGGACTGTATTTGGGGAAAACTGTTTTACTTTTAGCCTAACTCTTGCATTAAGGATGCTGCTTTATGTTTCCAGTGCCGAGTTTGATCAGTGCTGGAGGCCAGAGCAGACCCTCAGCAGGAACCACAGACCCTGAAGAGGCGTCACGCCTGCTGGCGGAGAAGAGGAGACAGGCTCGGCTGCAGAGGGAGAGAGAGGAAGAGGAACGCAAGCAGAGGGAGGAAATGGAGAGGTGAGGAGGAAGAAAGGGGAATTCAAAAAACAGCTGTCATATGGGAGGTTTTCTGTAATTTTGCTTCAGTTATAAAGCGGGAGGGGGATAAAATGTGCTGTAATGTAATAAAAAAGTGAGATGATGTAAGTAGTATTTTATATCTAGTGTGGGTTTAGTTTTTTGATCTGAATTAAGTACACTGAGTCACAATACTAGCTATAAAAATCTGAAATACTAAAATCACTTGAGGTGTAAATGCATATTTGGCTTCAGGCGAGGGAGAGAAGAGCTGGCCCGTCGGAGGGCTGAGGAGCGAGAGAGGCAGGAGGCAGAGGCCCAAAGACTTCAGGAGGAGAGGAAGAGGAAGGAGGAGGAAGAACAAAGGAAAGCAGAAGAGGAGAAAGTTCAAAGGCAGAGAGAAGAGGAACAAAGACTTCAGCAACAGGTGAGAGAGAATATATGTCCTGTGAGTCTTGCTTTCATACCATTTCAAATACGTCATATGAAATTTTTCAAGCTTGGAGAGATCTTTTTTTGTATTTTTATTGATTTGACATTGTAAACACACTGTAAACAATATTAAGCATGCATGTGATGCACATTCCTGTCTTTTGCTGTCAGAGAGAAGAGGAGGAGGCTCGTCAGAGGCTGCTGGAAGAGCAGCAGAGGCTGGAGAGAGAGCAGCGATTCCAGAGAGAGGAGACCGAGCGGCAGGAGAGAAAGAAGGTATGAGCGCAGTACAGTGTGCTGAATGTAGGTCAGCCATGCTGAGCACTGAGCATGACTTTATAGCCCAGCAAATTACAGGCCAGGAAAAAAAGAGGGGGGTTAACTTCAGTGGTATCCCATCTATCACATAAAATATAACCCACTGTATAACACATTGTGTTCATCTCTACAGCGACTAGAAGAAATTATGAAAAGGACAAGGAAAACAGACACTGCTGAAAAGGTAATTGCAACAGAAAGGTGCTCGTAGTAGTTTGGCATTTTCTCACGACAGCTACTTTTTGTAAACTTAGCAAATATTTAATGTATTTAGGATTTAGTTACTACTTTGGGCAGCAATTACTTACTCAGTCATAAATACTTTTGTGAACATTTTTAAATAATAATGCTTTTACTATACTTAGGTATATTTGTGAATAAGGGAAACAACTTTTTACTAACATTTAGCTACTGATTCCTTTATTGTGTTTAATTTCATTCCGTTCTGTTGGTTTAGCTCATGAACTATTTTGCTGTCACTCACACCTCAAACTTTGGAGATTTGGCACTTAATTTTAAGCCAAAAGGATCCAAAAACAGAACAGTAGAACATAACAAACATCAGTTCCTATATTGATGCTGGAAGTACCAGATAGCCACTGCAGTTACTAATGAAACTACAACACTCTGTTTCAGAGAGAAAGTAGATGTACTCTGGGTAAAATATTTCTTGAGTAAAAGTGCAAGTATTCTTACTGTATTTCCACCTGAGTAGAAGTGCAAAAGTAGTAGCTTGTGAACCTAAATTAATAACAAAAGTAAAAGTTCTGTCAGTTATTATAGTTACAGTTTTTTGCAAAGGTCATAGGGGATTTTGTTGATTTTCTAAGTGGAGACGCCATTGGACTTACAGTCATATGCAATAGTCAAATGACATGTTTTGCTGATTTTCCGCCTATAAATAAGTTTCTCCTCTGCGGAAAGCTCACTTGAATATGGCTTTTTTCTTTTTGGCAAATTTTAATGCACAATTTCTATTTATTTCTTGAGTTTATTTTTTCATGATTCATTTTAGAAAAAATAAACATTAAAAATAAAATGTGCCATAACTTTTCACAGGCAACACTTTTTTTTTTTCCCCAACATATTAAATTCAGCAAATAAATGTTAAAATGTGCAGAAGTATATGTAATTTTACTAGGGATGCACAAACTTTTGCATACAGCTGTATGTTTAATTGATATTTTGCAGTTGTGTTTAGTAGATAACTCTAGATAAAGTTTTTCATTTCTGCAGTCACACAGCTCTTCTATATATATATATATATATATATATATATATATATATATATATATATATATATATACATAAAATATATATATATGTATCATATATATATATATATGTATATATATATATAATATTGTTAAAATGATATAATAACAATAACTACATGTGCTTTACTTTTAAACTCAAGTACAGTCACAAGCTAGTACTTTTGCACTTTTACTGAAGTACAAAATTATATTTCTACCTTTACTTAAGTACAGCAGTACTGTATTTTGTCCAGCCCTGTTACTCTGATTTTTTAGAAAGGTTATTTTATTTGAACCACTGTTTTCACAGAAGTAACCTCGCTTTTACTTGTACTTTTACTCTATGTAGTGTGGATTGAAGCTTCTCTACCCACCTCTGTAGACAAACTGATTGATTGATTGATTGATTGATTGATTGATTGGTGGTTGTTTGGTTTGATAAGTTGGTTCGTTGATTGATTGATTGGTTGATTGATTGATTGATTGATTGATTGATTGATTGACTGTGCTCTACAGAAACCAGCTTCACCCAGTATCATAATGAAAGACAGCCTGCCAAATGAGAATATGAAGCCCATTCACAGTCTGCCATTAGAAGAAGTCATCAAGCTGCCCGGTCCAGTGAAGGCCTCTAAGATGGCTTTAGGCAATGAGGAGGACATTCTTCCTGCAGTGGCCTTCAAAGAGCGCAGATCTCTCCGCACACTTACAGGCCTGGAAGAGATCCAAGCTCATCAGCGTGCGGGTCAGAGAACTCTTCTTACAAGCTTGATCTAAAAATAATCTTCAGTAATGTGCTTTCAGAGACTTCTGACATGAAACAGTGGGCTATTATGACTTCACTAATAAATTACCAGAGCATTACAAACCAACAGCTAGGATTAATTCATGACACAGTAAAAATGAACTCTAGTCACAAAGTTGCTGTTTATTTTTTTTTTTCTCTCTGTCTTCTTTTTCCTCAGAAGTCATCTAAAGATGAAGATAAACGATCACAAGATCTGCAAGGAACCTGCAAGCCTGTACTTTCTTTATGGAAGAAAACAGATGCAGAATCGCTTCTCCTGCACTTTAAGAAACCCTCTACGACACATTTCACACATTTGAAGTAAGACAGAAGTGTCTGACCCCTGTGGCTGTACTGCCTCTGTGTGTTTTGGGGCCACGCCGCATGTTCAGTTCATGCTCTGTGGGAATGTGGTAAGGCACACTTCAAACTAATGGCTTCACAATGTTTTACAGCGCAATGACCTTCACCTAAAGCCTGAATATGCCATAGGTTTAGATTTACTATGTGATGTTTGAGGTGTTGTGTTCAGAAATGGTAACTGTTTCATTTATAATCAATATAGAGATTAATGAACAGACTTGTTACTCACAAAACAATCACAAGACATTTTTCCAATAGTCCGTATTTAAAGGGAATTGCATTGATTTTTCAAAAGTTCTGCATAATTTAGTGGTTGAGAGGTAAACAAAGTCATTCAGAGAGGCTCGATGTGAAATGGTTCACTGTAGAGAATTTAACCGACTCAAATTTCTTTACAGTAGTGGTGATGGGAACCAGGGGTCGCAATGTCAACACAAATATAGTCATTTTATTTATTATTCAAAATGACCAGAAAACTTACAAGTGTCCTCTGAGTTTTCATATGTAAAAATATGCTAAAATAGTAATAAATCTGAAAAAAAAATTTTTTTTTTGGAGACTGTTTTGCCTCATAAAAACCCTGCATGTACCCCTACACAGGCGGCACGGTGGCACTGCCGCCTCACAGCAAGAAGGGCCTGGGTTTGTTTCCAGACCTGGCGACCAGGGTCCCTTCTGTGTGGAGTTTGCATGTTCTCCCCGTGTCTGTGTGGGTTTTCTCCAGGTTTCTACCCACAGTCCAAAGACATGCAGTCAGGCCAATTGGACATGCTAAATTGCCCCTAGATGTGAGTGTGAATGTGTCTGTCTGTCTGCCCTCCGATGGACTGGTGACCCATCCAGGGTGTATCCTACCTTCCACCCAATGACTACTGGGATAGGCTCCAGCTCCCCCCGTGACCCAGAAGGATAAGCAACTTAGAAAATCTGTGTGTGTGTGTGTGTACCCCTACACCTTGAATCGAGTTTAAAAAAATACATTTTGGGCCAAAACCTGATCTCAAGACTATCATTAAGCAATGTTTCAGGCATCAGACCGTGTGTCTATTGCCATTTAAGGTAACAACTTTCTATGAGGTTTGGCATTAAATGCTTTGTATGTCTGGTTCCTAACACCACCACTGTGAACAATTCTGACTCGGTAAGTTTCTCTAGAATGGAGCATTTCACCCCAAACCATGCTGAATGATATTGTTTAATGCAGAAATTTTGAGAAATTGGTGGAATTCCCCTTTAATATACAGGGCTCTACTTTGCAACGCAGCTACTTTGTCTTGTGTTGGTATGAAACTGAACTACTATTGCATCAGTTGTTCTTGCTGAGCTGTGCTTCTAAAGCCTGCTGCTAGGTCAGAAGATCCAAACTCAGCCACTTTCTCAGTTTCCTCTGACTTTCTTCAGTTTTGCATTGCTGCTATTTAGTTATTCCAAAATGAGACGTACTGTCCTGTTTTTTATTTACCAAACCATAAGCATTTAGAAACTGTACTATCCACCCTTTTTCTGAGGGTACTGGTACAATCCTCAGCGAGTATGTGCAATTATCTAAACTTATGCATAAATAATACCATGAGTATGGAGTGTAGATGTACACAATCTAATTAAATATTTTATTGGTGTAAATAAACACGCTTTGAAACCAAACTGTGAGTGTACTGGAAAATTTCTGTTTCTCTAACTATAAGTTATAATCATTTGACATCTGCGTAGAATACTGTAAAAAAAATATATCTTTGCAAGTGAAAACCTCTCAAATCTAAGATCACTTAGCTCATTTCTTGGCATTTGCACTTGTTTCAAGTCATTTTATTCAGTGAAATTGTCTTACTATTGGTAGATAGTTGTGCTTGTTTCATGGACTGATGCTTGAAACATGCCAAATTATCTGCCAGTCATGAATGAACTGTTATGGGGCAGATAATTTCACTAAACAAAATCACATAAACAAATAAAAAAACACTTTTAGTTAAATAGTACAACAAGCTTAAAATGAGAAATGAATTTAAACGCAAAATGAGTAAATGAGTTAGCATTTTAAACAGTAAAAATCTCAGTTTTTGGCTCTTCAGGAATTCTATCAAGTTTGCTCGCTATAGCATCTACTTTTTTGTGCAAAAGTTTGGGCACCCATGGTCAAATTCCATGTTTTGTAGATTTTTTATATATAAATATATAAAAGCAATATATATATATGCAGAAGTTATATATATATATATATATATATATATATATATATATTGCTTTTATAAGGTTGCTTTTTCCAGCTTCCCTATTCTTGCCCAATATTATTTTTAGAGTGGATCGTTTGCTTCAGATATAATAAAGGCCTCCTTCAAAAGAGCTGACTAGAGTGTTTATCAGGAGTGCAGGAGATTACAAACAAGTTTAAGGTGCACCAAGAACATGGGGTCCATATCTCCAGTCCCCTGGGGGAGAGAGGGCCAGGCCTGTGCTCTCTCCAAAGGGCGTTTCATGTTCTGTGTTTGTGCAAAATAATTTTAGTGCAATGAATCTACTAAGTTTTCTTTTTCTGCATTAGTGCAGTCCTAAAATTCCATTTATTCTATAATTCTATTACCCATTTGCTTTGAACTAACAGATCAACAAAAGCTTTGTTTTATTAGCATGCATGCTCCCAATTTCTTTGCTGTAAAAAATGAAAAGTCAGCTCCACTTGAAATTATATGCCTAATTACAATGCGTCTTTTAGTGAACTCAACCTGAGGGACTTATTCAGACTCCTTAGTTTAGTTAAAAGCTCTGCTAACTGCATCTCAGTAATGTAAACAATATCAAATTTTGAATGTCCCCACTAGGTGGGGCTCTTTCTATCACATAGTGATTGCTTTTCTTGGCTCCCAGTTCAAGACTGCCAGGATTCAAACCCAAGATCTTTTAATGGGGCAAGTTACCTAAAACAAATGTCTCATAGTGTATGATCTCAAATACTTGTTAATTTTTCTGAAAATGATAATTACTGTCCCTATTTATGAATTTTAGGAATTACTACACACATAATAATTGAGTGGCTCGTTGTTGCCTTGATAAAATTTTATCAGATACACGCCACGCACAGTTTTGGGTTCCTGAGATTTTGCAAGTACATATTTAACCATTAAATCTATTTTAAGTATAGCTCTCTAGCAATAGCTGTATCCTCTGATCACATAAGTATGTGCAGAGTTTGACCCATTGAAATCCAAGCTCTGCTGCTTTTTATTCCAACATCATCCACATGGTGGCATTGCAGCATTTAGCATACTCAGCTTTCTTTTCCCCTTCACAGTTCGATAACCACAATGCAGACAGAAATGCAGATTTGTCTGTCAATCCTTTGTGTACTGTGGATCCAATCAAACAGTGATTATTGATGTCAGAAAGCTCTGGAAGATAATAGAGTAAAACTGTATGTAGATGCTTCTTCACTCTATACGTCTTCGGCTGCCTGCTGGGCCTTCTTGATGATGTTGCCAATGTTCAGATCTCACCTAAGTTCAATGAGAATTAGTTCCCTGGTCATACTGTAACGTTTAGAAGAACAAATTGTTGTTGTTTGCAATTGAATCATTGAGACGTTACATCTTTGCTGATTTGGTAATTATAACAGTCTTCGTAAAATACTGTGCAGCTAAGCATTGTCTCAAAGAGGTGTCAAGAACCCCTGTGGTGAGTGAGAATTAGCGCACAAGCATGCTGATAAAGTGTTGACGGAGAAAGGTGATCGGGTCCAGTTTAATTTCTTTTGTTTAGCCTTACTGAAAGCCGTTCTCACCTCTTTCTCTGAGATGGGAAATGGTGGAGGCAACTCACGTCAACACTGTGATGCTGTGTGTGTTTTCACTGTGTCTGTGTATGTGTGAGCCATATTAAGCAGTCTCCTTTATCTCATCCCCACTGACATACCAGCAGCAAGACTGGGAACCACTGATCTGTTACCACAAATGCATCTTGATCTGACTTGATTTGCTGGATTTGACTGACCCTATTGATGCATTCTGCTATTGTTGATCTATGTCTCTCTGTTGGGTCAGCAATCGTGTATAATGGATGAAGTAGTTTACAACCTAAGACATGGCAAGTTTTTCAGGTTTGAAAAGCGGAACGTGTCAGGTCGATTTCTCTGAGGTCTCTCTTATAAACTTCACTTGAGCTAATAAAGTAATGGAATGGCCCTTAAGATGAGGACGATTTTCTCCCAAAAAGGAAATGGTACTGAAATTGGCAGTTAGTCTGTTTGAGGGGACTGAATGCTGTCCAGGAAGCTGTATTGATGGTACACCCCACAGTCTTCAGCAGGTCTCTCATTTACCTTCTTTCATGGAAGCCACTGTCAATCATGGCCTGATGAGCCATGAACTAAGTGACTGCCCAGGGACATCCAGAGCCAAGGGGCACCAAATGGTTGAAAAAAAAAGAAAAGATAATAATTATTTTATGTAATTATTATCTATTAACATAACATATTGAATCTTTTGATTTACTTTAAATCTGTTTACACACCAGACTAGCCAGTCTCTGGCTAATAATCCAGCTGCAAACTTTCGAAAAGCATGATCATCGTGTGTTCTTTATGTTTGTTGGACAGTGACGTCTACACTCTCAGAAAACAAGGTATAAAACTCTCACTGGGGCAGTGCCCCTCTTGTCACTGGGGTGGTACCCTCAAGGGTACATCTCAGTACCTTTAGTCAGGGAACATAATTGTACCGTAATCCACTGAAATTATATTTTCTAAGATGTACTGACTCCACACACCCCGTCTCGCCTCCAGGCTTTTTATTTTATTGTTCATTAGGTTATCTGAAGGTACAAATATGTGCTTTTCACCTGGGAAAAACATATTTAAGGCACACAATTGGACCTTAAAACCACTGTTGTACCTCTGACATTGTTATTTTACATCTACATCTTATTTGACATGCATTGTGACATCAGTGCACTTTGTGAATGACCTCTCATCAGCATAACTGGACGATTTTGGCAAAACCTTAGCTGAGAAGCTGACACTAGTTCAAATTCAGATATTTGGTGAAGAATTAACAGTAAATCTCCAACAAAACTGTTGCAAGGTCTTAGTTTATTATCAGAAGTGTGTGTGGTTGGTAGAGTATTGAGTTTGTTGGGATAGGGGACCAACATATTCACAGATATTTCAAAACATCAAATATCAAAGATCAAATCAAATGTTGACCTCAAATAGTCGTTAACGTGAGTTTAGTAAATGGTTCCCTGCTGCACAAGTACAGGGTGAGACAAATGTCTGGAGCCACCCAAATGTCTGTAAGAAATTTTATGTTGGCAGCTTATTGTATGGTGTATAGCTGGTCTGGCATATATCGTAAGTACACCCAGTGGTCTAAAACACAATGGTTACAATGAGATCAATCTAATACTAAATGTTTTATAGATATTTGGGTGCTTTACCCTGTTGGTAAAACATCAATTACACATCCTTCAACAAAAGTATTAAATCTTTCATTGAGTTTTTAAACTATCCTGGCATAACTAGGAAAGGGCTGGCTCAGTTTCATTTAAAGGGACCGTATCCTACATTTTTCTTGAATTTTATTTTTTTTCTCTTAATGCCTAATTTTTGCATCTGTGGGGTTTAAGTACAAAAAACGTCTGAATTCTTTTTGCATAAGTACGCTCCCAGCTCTCTTTATCCATTACAATTAAACAGACTGTTTTTGTTACAATAACTTTTAGATGTAAATGATTATGTGAATAATCTCAGTTCTGATTGGCTCTCCAGTATGGCTCCTTATTCAAAAAGCAGTCCTGTGTGAAACACTTCTTAGAACTTCATTGTGAATGGGCGGGGCTAAACTGCTGTAGGCTGAATAAGCAGATATGCATGCAAATGCATTGGTTTTTCCCGACCTCACACGAAAATAATTAATTCAGAACGGCTATTTTGGCATCTTTGTTCCTTTGTTCCTTTGTTCCCTGGATTCGGGAGAGAATTGTGTGTTTTGAAAATTTCACAATGTCTTCCAATTACACTCTTTTATTTTAAAATAGTAAGGAAAGTTTGGTTTTAAATAATGTGGGCAGTTTAGCATAACTAACATGTATTTTAAAACATCAAATATCGAAGATCGAATCGAATGTTGACCTTAGAATCGGAAACCGTATCGAACCTGAACCGGTGTATCGTAACGCTCCTGGTCAGCCATATTACGCAGAGTCTCCTCCATCTCACCCCCCACTACCACCACCAACTTCAGGACATGCGCACGTCAAACCGGGCTGTGAAGGCGATTAAAACCTCCTAAATATTCCCGTTCTGCTAGAAAAGAAGAGCCGAACCGACAACGAACAATATGGAGGCCGTTAAGGCGTTTAATGGCGAGGTTTGTACGGAACTCATTCATTAAAAACCAGATACTTTGGCTTTATTCAGGGTTGCGGTCCGCAGGCCGGGATTCAATTCAGTGACTGTTGCTGTTGGCTAGCTAAGCTAACAAGCTCGCTAACCTAGCTAGTGAAGGTTGTTTAACTGTAACGTTACTTGTATTTCCACCCACATAGTGCAAACATTTAAAACTGAACGGGTGTTATAAGTTGGACTTAACCACATTATGGTTTTAAATATTATGTTCTTTAGGCCGTTCAACATTGCGAGTGAGCCTGCTAGCATCTGTAGCTCAGTTAGCTCAGCTAACGTTAACGCTAGCTAGGTTAGCTAACACAAAAAGACGCAGCCGTAGCTTAGCAGCGACGTGCTAACGTTTTATTTCATCCAGAGTGATTTACTCAGTTATCAACTTGGTAAACTTGCTCATCGTTTTAGTCTTTGTTGCAGCGGAGTCTGTTAATCGGCTGCGTTCACACGAAGCTGAGGTCAGCCTCTTATTCGCCAGCTACTTGTTCGAATTTTCCCGTTCCGCCTTAAATGGTGCAGCAGTTACATGTAGCTCAGGCTCCAGAATGTAACTGTTGCCCCATTTAAGGTGGAACGGGAAATTCTAACAAGAGGCTGGTGAATGGAAAGACAACCTCAGCCTCGTTGCCTTTATTAGGTTTATGTGGGTGGTTTAGGTTAGATAGCTAGCATCAAGTGGGCAGTGTTGCTGGCTTTTTGTAACGTGTATTTCGTTTAAGAGTCAAAAAGCGCAACTGAACAGCAGATTTGAGGTGAAGTTGTGCTAAAATAGCTAGAAAAGTCCATTTATGATGCACTGACGTCACGACTCGAGCGTTTCACCTGTTTGCCGCTGTAAGTTAGTGAGCAGTAACTTATGTAAGTGAACCTACACACTTAAAAAAGATGGTTCTTTAGTAAAGGGAATAGTTCTGTTTAGAACCACGAGTTCTATATGGAACCATTTCATGCTTGAATGATTCTTTGCATGCTGAAATGTTGTTGTTGTTTTTTTTTTCAGATTGTTGGAGAACGTGCACATGGTTCTATGTGTAACTTTTTTGAAAATAGTTCTACATTAAATCAGAAATGATTCTTCTGTTGTTACAGTGTCAAGCCTCTAACAATAGCAGAACCCTTTTTGGTGTTATACAGAACCATTTTCAAAAAAGTTCTGTATAGAACCATGTACAGCACATTCGCCATCAATCTGAAGAACCATTTAAGCATGAAATTGAACCATTTCTCTTTACTCAAGATTCCTAGAAGAACCATCCTTTTAAAGAGAGCGGTTTAGTAAGTCTGCTGTTCTTTTGTAACTCAAGATGTTGGCTGGTTGCAGTAATGCTACAGTAAAACGACTGCAGAGCGTGTAACTAAGCGCTCTATGAAATACACCTTAATGGAGAGGGGGATAAACACCAGACAGGCCAGGATTTTGTACATGAAAAGGAGTTGGGCTGCGTTTTCCATGCAGAACAGCTTCAGACCCTGTGGTTTCTCAGTCCTGTTCCTGAAAAACCTTATACTGCACATCTCAATCATCACATCAGCACCTGCACATTAAAGTGATTACGAATTAATGAATTTCTAAATAGCTTTATGCTCCTAACTATCTAACTCATAAGCACAGCTGATCACCTAGTTTATTTCACAAAAACATGGAGCCGATGTTTCCCGTTCCTGCTCTTGGGGACCCTCTGCGGTCCGTATTTGACTGTCTCTGCTGTGACATTCACACTTTAACCTCACAAACAAGGCTGGGTTTCACAAAAGCTTCTTAGAGCAAAGATGATTCAGAAACGGTAGAGTGAGCATTACAGTGAACACACTCTCTACCAGTTAGGATGGCCTTAACACTAAGATGCTTTTGGGGAAACTGGATCCAGCTCGTTCACTGTATTGTTCACTGTACCACGTAGGAATCATCTTAGCTCTAAGATGCTTTTGTGAAACTGGTTCCAGATTCAACATATCAGCTCACTACCAATCTGGGCCCAGTTTCACAAATGCATTTTAGAGCAAAGATGGGTCCTAAACAGTAGAGTGAGAATGACAGTGAACACACTCTCTACCTGTTAGGATGACCATAACTGTAGGATGCTTTTGGGAAATTGGGCCCAGATTGGCAGTGAGCTGATGTGTTGAATCAAGCAGGAAAACATTAGGAAACACTGCATTTAAGACTGTTATTTAGAACAGGACTCTCTCATGTTGAATAATTGCAGTGTGAATTAAATGGATTGAAAACAAACAAGACATCAGACCGTGGCTTGGTGCTTTCCTTTTTCCATTGGCCCATAATCCAGATTGATAACTTGTATAAATGTTAAAAATTTACTCATCTGACCAGTACAGCTGATTTTAGGCACCAAGGCCACAATCTTTTATATCGCCTTGTAAGGTTTTCTTTTGGCTTAGAATATCGTTTAGAGGGTTTAAGACACCCATCCTGATGTGCCATTTTAATTTTTTTAGGACTTGTACATGCTATGTGGTGCATGGCCTGGGAGAGAGCTGTTCAGTGGAATTCATGATATGATTTGCAGATACGCTAAAGGGAAACTGTAATCTGACTCTGTTGTGAGGCATCATGTCAAAGTTACCATAAGCTGACATTCCCTGGAACTGTCTTGTAATCAAATTGGTGTCTCTCTTTTTCAGCTGTACTCTCTGAATGAATACAAGCCTCCAATCTCCAAAGCGAAGATGACCCAGATTACCAAGTCAGCAATTAAAGCTATAAAGGTAAGTATATAGATAAACAGAAGTAGAAAAGAAAAGTAAGGTTTAGGATCATGCACCATTCCTTTTTCTCAGATTTTCTCCAGGCGTCTTAAAAGTTGGCACACAACAGTAATAAATGATAAACTAACTTAATTGGTCACATCTTGTTGATTCGTGAGCTGTAAAACCCTAAATCCCTACCTTCACAGATTTCACTGTGGTCAGGACAGTGCGTAGATAATTATATTTATTACAGTAGCATAGTATACTCAAGTTCCACATGATAAAGATGCCTGTATCCACAGACCTCCTGCTGTGGAATCAACCCACCTGTTGGACTTGCATCGACCATTTCTTTCCCTAGCAAATCACAGTTACGTTGGGCGCAATAAAAAAAAAATGAGACAGGGATTCTAATAGCCATTAATGTGCATTTAGTGCACCCACATATCTGTAAGACCTTTTGTGTTGCCAGCTTTCAGTACGGTGGAGAGCTACTCTATTATATGTAATAAGTACACCTGGTGGGCTTATAAATAATGGTTATGATCAGATCAGTCTAACGTTAAATGTCTTACAGATATCTAGTTGCTTCCTGGCTTTTGACCCACCATGTAGTTGGTTGTGACCCAATCACAGTGTGGGCCATTCGTGATGGATAGTTCAAGCATGTATCATAACCTGTTGGTAAAACGTCAATCACACCTCTTTCAACAAAAGTATTAAGTATTTCATTGAGTTGTTTAAAATATTCTAACATAACTAGCTATTCTAACTAGAGCGTCTCATTCAAAAGCAGTCCTGAGTGAAACACTTCTCATAACTTCATTGTAAATGCTGCTGTAGGCTGAATAGGCAGATATATAAAAATCTAATATAAAATTGGGTTTCATTACATCATAAAAATAGTGCATTTAAAACAGCTGTTAAACTCGTTAAATGAAAAAAATAAATTTGTAAAAGAATAGTTGCGTTTCATCGTGAATTATAACACTGAGGTAGCTGGGCAATAGTTTTTCTAATGAATCGTGATGTAGATTTCAGGAATAGACTGGATGTAGACGGGTTTTAATGTTAAGCAGACATTTTTGCTCACGGCGTAGCCCTCACAGCTGTCCCGATGCCAGTGTATTGAAACTGGTGGAACTCTCTCTGATTACCAGAAGTATTTGTGGAACTGACTGGTACAGAGATCAGTAGTAAAGTTGAGATCTGAGCTTTCAGGAGACAAGCTAAGCAAATGAAGCTTGTCTAATGAATTGTTAGTCTTCACTGTAAATTATTTTTGAGATTGACAGCAATTCATTAATAAAGCTAGGGCTCAGAGCATCTCTCTTCTCTTTATGTGCATCATCAAACGTGGATAGTGTCTTTGTGTTGGGTGCTCAGTGCGACTTGGCTAACCTCCATGGCTTTTTTTTCTTTTACAAGAAGGGAAACAAACCTGACAGATCAGACTTCTAAGATGAAACATAGTGTCTTATCTTTTATGCTTTGTGTTTTGGAGCCAATTTGGTGTGTTTTTCTGAAGAGACTACTTTTTTATTGTTAGGAGGTGAAACATATTAGACTAGTGTCAGTGATGGCACACTTGTTCTGCACAGGTGATTTTCTTACTCTTATCGTAGCAAGTTAATCTGGCAATTAAATGCTTGCTGAATCTGGTGTATTTGTTTAGGAAAACCACTAAACTGTGCTAGACTCCAGACCTGGAGGGTCCCTGCTTTAGACTGTTAGTATACCATATTATAGAGAATAACACAAATTGTGCAGGTTTGTTAAATCTAATACATGTATATTTTCCCCCTGTTCAGTTTATTAATGGAGCATGGAAAACATGCATCTTGTGTACTTATGTGGCCATGTTGTTCAGTAGCTTGCCTATTGATTCTTGGTTTATAAATGGCATCATAATTAGCAGGAGCATCAAAATACATTTTGTAAAGTAAGTTTTAAGACAGAAACTTTAAAAAAATATTATCAGGTGTCTGGACCAGACAGAAACGTGGCCTAGATATCTTGTAATTCAGACTTGCAACGTGAAGGTTGAGGGCTTATTAGAAATCAAAAGATACGGCTATTAACAAAGGTTTAATTGATCTCAGTTCATAACTCTTAATTCACGGACAAGTTTCATGTTTTTAACTCTGACAGTTTTTTAAACTTATAGGATTCTATGTAAACTTAAAGCTTCACAAGTTATTCTTGCAGTATGAAAATGCTAAATAATTAAATCTTGGGAAATAAGGGGATACTTTTTTTTCATGATTAATTTTGGTTTTAGTTTACTGCAGCCTCAATTTTGCAACCTGAAAACAAACAGTGGTTTTCAGTCAAAAATATTGGGACTCCATACATATGTGTGTTCTCTGTTAGGTGTAACACACATAATTCACCTAGTGAAGGGCTTAATGAGTTTAACCTGATGTGTTTGAGAAATTAAAACACACAGAAATGCATAGGGTTCCAAAGATCAGACTGAAATCTACTGGTTAAATTATTTAGTACTAATAGCAGAGACTTTTTTAGACTTTATGAAAGTGAACCATGCTTGTAGGGCAACTTCCATGCTATACGATCGTCTTTGTATGTTAGCTGAGGTCGTCTTGCTGCTTGTGAGCGTATACGTGACCTGTGGATTGCTGTGTTTTTTGCTGCCTTGTTAGGGAGCCTGCACATATCCACTCTGCTGTGTAGTAGATAATTTATCCATATATGTTGCAAAATTACAATGAATTAACAATAGGGAATATGTACTGATGTTTGGGGCTACAAACTGCCTCATACAGGTCGCACCAGGTGTCAGCAGAGTTATTATTGAGGCGTGGAATGCCACATCACTCCTCACCGTTAAGAGATGTTGTGATTTATTTGTGCTATCCCTGTCTATGCATCATTCAGCACTTCTGTAAGTGCTTTCTATCAGATTATCCAAACAGAAGCGGAGCTTGAATGTAGCTCAGGATTTTAAGGTGGTTCACATAGAGATCGCACCGACCCAATAGACAGTATTGGTAACTGGCCCATGTCAGGAAGAATGCTGGATGGATATCAGAGGAAAAAAGATGTCTAACAGTCTAGTCTGAAATTTTGATTGCTTGTATCACAACATCATAAAGTAGATCACATAACAGTAGCCACATGTAGCTTATCACAGGAACTGTAGCTAGCTAAATATTTATATGAGAATTAGTTAGGTTTTTTTTTGTTTGTTTGTTTTTTAACATACATTTTTACTGTTTGTGACTGTTGCAAAATTTACAGCTTTGTCATTTGGAAAGGGGAAAAATGTTGATTGGTTGATCAGTATCAGATTGAGATTCAGAAGAGAAAAATGGTATTTTAATTGTTTAACTTCTGTACTATGATAGAAGTCAGTGTGAGGTCTCCAACATGTAACGTGAGCCTTTTTTGCTGATTTTGTTTTGTTTTTTTTTGTTGTTGTTGTTTTTTTTAAATGTTTTTTAAAATTAGACACCTAAAATTTCATAGTTTAAAACTTTACCTTGGACTTAATGCTTACAGCAGGAGTGTTCATTCCTTTTAAGTCCTGCTTAGTCATGCTATTCAGGCCTTGAGTGTGGATGTAACATTCTGCTACTTAATTTTTTATTTTGAAATAGATTTGCCGTAGTGTCTTCTGTAGTTTGTAAACTTTTAAATTAGTGGCTGGAGGTTGGTACTTGAACATGTGGTTTTTGGTGAGGTCTAAAGCAGGTCGTGAACAATATTGTTTGTCAGAAGTGAACATCTGGTACCTAGTTATCCCATCACATTCATAACTAACACAACACATTCATAAATAAATAACCTTATTGTTCGCATCTGTGACAAGTGACTAAAGCTGTCACCGGCCCTTTGATTGTAAATAGAAACTGTTATATAGTGTTATAATTTCAGTCAAACGTTTAACTTTGTAAGACAGATCATGCCGTTGGTAGGCTGGTCTTTGGTGTGAGCGTACTTTAAGATGTGTCCCAAAGTTCTTCATTCTTGTTTTGAACAGAAGCTTGTGTGAGTCTTGACTGTCCCATTGTCCTTTAGGACGTCACAATGCATTTCTCTTTATCTTGGGTCATCCTGACTCTCTATATCATCCCAAGGTTTGCTTGTGTATTCAGCTCCATATCTAAAGCACCTTGACAGTTGAGGTAGCATTCCATCAGAATAGATATAACAATTGGCTTAAAATTCTTACTCAGATATTGAGAGTTGTCAACACATGAAAAGAACACGTTTTTAACATCTCCAGATCGCACAACAATCTTAAGCAGTTTCCTTTCAGACAGAAGTATCTATACTGAGTAACGTCCCATTGTGGCTCATTTGTATCATGTGAACACTGCATCTGTTCTAGCATTCCCTCCACTGACCCACAAAGCAGTTAAAGTCTAAGTAACAATGTTATTGCATTGTTGGCTGATTCCTTTTGTCCTGCTGTGTGATTGTTTTGCTTTCTGTGAATAACACCTCTTTCCCCTTCCCTCAGCAGCTCTCCCAGCTCCCCCAAAGCACTGAAAGTGAAGCAGGAGGATGGGGCGAGAGAGAGTTTCAAAGTGATAAGGGAACCCCTAACCAGCTTAGGTAGGAGATGGGCTGTTTTAAAAGGAGGATGGAAGAAGCCAAATAAGAAATAACTTAAACACATTCTGACATGTAGTCAGAAGTGAGACGCCATTTGGTTCGTCAGGTTCATGAGGATGTCTTTGCTATAGAGTATTTAGAGCTCTGTTCAGTTGTATGGGTTTTGGTGCTGGATTGACTTTTTCTTGACAAATTAGTCAAAGTATGTTTGGGCAAATCACTTTGCTCAGTAATTGAACATTGATCACTACAAAGGTGGTTGCCTTCATCATTGTAATTGGCTGAGTGCTATGAGCAGCTGTCTAATTTGGGACAGATGTTGTTAAATGACTAGTAACCATGTTATTATAGGTTCTGCTTATTTGTTTTGTGTGCATATTTTTGTGGACTAATGGAACCACCTTCTAAGCCCTCTCACAAAAGCAGGGTTTAGCTTG